TCAGTGGCGGCAGGTTAATGGAGAAGGGAAAAGGGAAATAGGTGGATTTGTAGGTATTATACAATGTCTGAATCTATGCTGGTCACACAATACATACTAAGAAATGTTCACAGAATCAATAAAAAAACAAAGCCAGGGCACCACCTAGTAATACAAATATAAAATTCCTATTACTTGGGTCAAAAGTTGTCAATGAGGAAATTATTGACTTTTGTGCCTTGAGTCCCTATTTGACACAACTGACTCTCCTCTCTATAAACCCTCTCCCCTGCTTACCCAATAATGTTGCTTTTCCCTTGCTTGCCTTTTACATCCAATTACTCTCAAATTTCTGCCTTGCAATGCTGCCAATGTTCTGCATACCTTAAAGACTGTTCATTCTAAAAGGTTCCTCCTACAGTGTGGTTCATCAGGTTCCTACCATAGTCTGCCAGTAATGAAGCTTAATCAATTTGGAATGGCATGGTACTGAGTTATCCAGAAAGCTAAGACTAAAGATATAATGTATTGATATTTTTTGAAATTTTTAACTGGTTGCAAAACTAAAATTATATTTAGCATCACAGAATCACTTTGGTTCCCACAGTTGTGCAGTAACATCACAGTTTGGAAAAAAAGTCAAATTATATCGTTGGTAGGAGCTCAAGTAGCTTCAAATGTACTTAGGTGTTTTAGGTCCATTTGATGGCCTGCTTTAACGTATAATAGTGTCCTTAAAAAGTTATGTAACAATAGGGAAAGAGACATATTTGACTTCTGCTAATGAGTTTGGCATGCTTAAAAGGCATTACAATTAATAAAAAAATGTAAGCAAATGTAAATACCTTAATACAGCATTTAAAAAAAAAGCAAAAAAGCAGTGGAAACCTGAGTAAAAAGAAGCCAGGAAGCAGCTGAAAAAGAGACCGGTTCACTGTGAGAAATGTAAACCTCTCAGACAGTGCTACGGCCCCGAATCCAACAGCTCAGGAACAAGGCCAATTATTGCAATATATTAAACATATATGGTGAAGCTGCAAACTTTTCAAAAGAGTCATAAGAATAAAAGCAGCTACAAAGAAAAGAGCCAGGGCTTCATAAACCTAAAATCTTTGCTATGATTACTACAAGCAGGAAAAGTTTCTTTATATTAATAGTTTACCAAACTCCTTATATGTAGTGTACTTTATAGTATTCAAACTGTATATTTCATGATAAAAGGTTAAGATAATAAATCTCTATTATTACAACTGGCAAGTAACCAGATCTTTTGAAACAGTTGTTTACATGACTCCAGTTATTGACAATAAATTGCTAAGCTATTACAACAAATTCTCTAATATTCCACCTATCTAAACTAGAAATGACTCATATGAGACACACAGAATCATGGAATTTTAAAGTATACAGAGGCTTCAATAGACAATATAGTAAAAACTTCCTTACTTTGCAAGTGGGTAAACTGAAACCCAGTGGCTTTAAGTGATAGCTTAACACCAGTTAAAATGACTAAGGGCCGTCAGGATTCTGACTCTTATTTTGTTGTTCTTCCATGTTATACAATGCATTGTCCAAAAAGCCTAATGTATTTATAGCCAGAATTTCTTTTTTGTTGACAAGGGTAAACTCAACTCTGTTTTCAATGACCATGGTCAGTAGGTTCATATTCATAATGAAAGACTCACTCCCCAGTAGTAATTTTAGCACTGAATTCAATTCTGTTCCCATAGTAGATGGAGGTTTATTGTCAAGGAGATCAAAACTACTGTGCTCCACTGGCACACACACAGATGGAAGACTCAAAGCGTTTTATCCTTGAGATATTTTACCAACTTCTTCCTTGCCTCCAAAAGAGAAAATTACAGAAAATCCTGTATTTCTATTGCCCATACCCTATCTGCTATAAGAACTCTTGGCTCAATTGGGTTTGTTAATTTAGGGTAAAATTTCTTTAAATTTATATATAAACATTTAAACATTTGTGCTACAGCGAAGAAAAATTGTTCCAACACTACCAATGCTTTCACTATTTGCTGGAATAATTAGTTTAATCTTTTTATGTTAAAAAAATGCTTCCTGACACTTTGTAGGGTAGGCAAGTATTGTTTAACAAGAAATAAAAATGTAAGGGATATGACAAAGCATTTTTCATTTTAATCAGACTGGAATAATGAAATGTAAGGAAATAAAAAAAAAATCCAAAAAGGAAACCCAGAAAGTACTATTTACATACAAAAATATAAATTGCTGACAGAGAAATTGCTATAAAAAAAAAAAAGAGAGAAATAATAAAATGTTCATTTCCCAGTACATTTTACTATTAAGACACAAACATAACTGTACACTTTTCTGTAGGTTTTGATATTAAAACATAACCATTAGCTCACTATAAAACAGTCTTTTATATTATAACTTTTAAAAGAGTTCAAATTTCTACTAATTCTATAAAAAGGTTTAATACAATTACCAACACACTAGCTGGCACTGGCACTGCTGAACTTTTCTTTAAAGGGAAATTTTCTATTATACTTATTAGCATAACAAAATTTTTTTCCCTTTCAGATAAGAATGCTTTGAGGATTTATTTCCCTTTTATTCTTCAAACTGAATGAAATTCAACAAACTTAAGCTCCGCAGAGGCGGGAGGATTGCTATAAAGGTCAGGAGTTCGAAACCAGCCTGAGCAAGAGCGAGACCCCGTCTTTACTAAAAATAGAAAGAAACTAACTGGCCAACTAAAATATTCATATAAAAAATTAGCAGGGCATGGTGGCACATGCCTGTAGTCTCAGCTACTCGGGAGGCTGAGGCAGGAGGATCGCTTGAGCCCAGGACTTTGAGGTTGCTGTGAGCTAGGCTGATGCCACGGCACTCTAGTCTGGGCAACAGAGTGAGACTCTGTCTCAAAGACAAAAAAACAAAAAAGGAAACAAAAAAACCCCCAAACTTAAGCTCCAAGATGAGTATACTAAATAAAATAACTGAAAGGGCACAGCCAGGTTATCAATACAAAGCATTATATTATGACTGGCTCATTAGAGTCAAACACAGTATCAAAAACTATTCAAAGATATGATTCTCTTTTCTGTGCTTACACTAACTATCCAGATGCAATCTCATTTATTGTTTCCTTCCTTCTCATCATAACTAGCATTAGAGAAAACTCCACAAATAAAAATATCCCTGATGATAAACATGTACTGTTACACAGATATTTTGGCCCCTAACTAGGCATTTTTAGTTGTTTTTTATTAAGTGGTAATTTTTTTTTTTGCAACAATGTGTTTATTGCAAACACATCACATCAGTCCAATCCATGATGAAAAGATTTTATTTTCTAAGCAGTTTGACCATGAACAGGAATAAAAATTTTGCCATAGAAAAGAACTATAAGTTCACACAAATACAGAATAAAGAATCTTCACTTGCCTCATTAATAGGGTATACTAATGAACTAAGTTAATTAGTCACACACAAGATATTTAAATGAGTAGCGTGAAGGTAAATTTCCTTCTTTATTATCATGACATCAGCTATAATCTGTGTTATAATTTTGGAAGAAAAAATAAAGATGAAAACAATATGAAAAGGCAGTCACTTGAGGCCCAGAAAATCATTTCCATTAGAATAAAACAACAATGTATGTAAAGCCAAAGAGCAGTGTGACAACCAATGGGCCCATGTATATAAAGAACAACTTTTGAAGCCTTTTGAAATTAGAGCACATACTTAGTCTATGTTATTTGACATAGACTGTATTATTAAACTTCGGGTAAACCTGAAACTAAAAGAAGTTATATTTGAGACAGAGAAAAAAATTCTAACTTGGCTAAAATGACCAATGTTTGTACTCAGCATCCTTTGGAAGAACATTTGTCACATGTACAATACAGGGCTAGTAACATACAAAACAGGGAAGAACCTGCACACTAAGTATAAGACAACTCACAAGGGTAACAGATTAGGGAAGTTCTGGAAGTTCTCCTGCAGGGTGAACTTGGTGAGTCACAATGATCACTGATGACTCTGTACTGGCAAGGAGAAGCAAGAACACTTCTCATCAGATGGGCCAGTGCAGAGATGTTTCTCCTGAAATGGTGGTAACCCTTAAGCATTCCACACAATATCAAGAGCAATAAACTGTCTCAGTGGAGGTGGAGTTTACAGTGCTATAGTGAGTGATATTCACATAGTCTGAGAGCCTTCACTAGTGATAAGCAGCTAAAAAAGCTCTTAAAAAACCAATAGTAAAATTCTACCTCAACTCCTAGAGTTATGAAAGGCAGGATAAATACCTCATTAAACATCTGGGACAGAAGTACACATCTAGATGGAAAGCATATAGAGAAATGAGTTCATTAAAATCAGTAAGATAATTTTTTACATTGAGATCACAGTTGTTTTCACTAAATGTTTGAAAAAATTTTGAAAAGTATGTTGAGTTTTAATATATTTTATATGTCTAGTATTGGATTGTAATTTGGTTTAAAAATACTTTTCATCATACATCAACAAAGTGAAAAACAAAATAGAGAATATGCACAAGAACATCATTCCTTTTAAAGGCATTCCTACTAAGACATCAAAATACCATCCCTAGGCTACAGTTCTCAATAAAAGGTAGTTTTGGTCTTTGCTTCTGGTTAGCCATTCAGAAGATATCTTGTGCCTAGCTTTGCCTGTCTATGGCTGTTACCATAGGTGGATTATCAGGCTGCAAAGAGGGCTTCAACTACAATGGCACTGAGGACCAGGAGCCATTCAACACTGTGTGGCCTAGTAGAATGTTCCCATTATGGCTCCCAACCCTTTAGCACATAGACTTGGTAGTATCTTCTAGGGGATGCTAAGATTTGCCCACTCTTTTAAACTCATGGGTTTGCATACTGATATATATGTACATATTTAAGATACGTGACAGACTGAATGTCATAGTATCTTAATAGAAAGACTGAAATAAAGTAAGATGAAAAAAGCAATGCCCATGGCTAAGAATGTATAGCATCAGAAACTCTACTCACCTGTCTGCTGTGCAGGTTGTGGCAGTGGTTGGTTTAGATGTGAATTGTAATGGACAGAAGGGACTGGGCGATACTGAGGTTGATTGGAGTGATAGTGGCCTGGAGCGCAATAACAGGCTGGCATCTAGGACCATAAGTATTAAGGGAACAATTTCAATTTACTTGTAATAGAATTTTTTTCTGTCAGGAGTATCAGAGTTTAATGAATAAATCTTTCTAGTATCAACCACCTGAAGACTGATTTTATTTTTAAATTTAATTGAAAAAAATAAAAAAATTCAAACATATAATATCCATGAAAAGAGACACCTACAATCGTGTCTACCAATTGTATTTAATTTTAATTTTTTTTGCCATATTATAGTTTTAGTGCATTCTCTCTTGCCTTTTATAAAACCAAACATTACTGAAATAGCTAAAAGTTCACTTCATTTCCTTTACTCTACCTTCCATAGAAAAGCCATTAACCTATAGGTGGTGATTTTTATTATATATATATTATCCATGTATACATTGTGGAGTATTTAAAAAACTTACATTTATAGTACAGGCTGAACACATCCCTAATGAAAGTATCTGAAATGCTCCAAAATGCAAAAATTTTTAAGTGCTGACATGATGCCACAAGTGGAAAATTCCACATTTGACCTTAACTGAAACAAAGTTAAAATTTTTTGTTTCATGAACAATATTAATAAAAATATTGCTTCTATTATCTTAAGATTACATGTATAAGATGTGTATGAAACATAAATGAATTTGCTTTTTAGACTTGGGTCTCATCCCCAAGGTATCTCATTATATATATGCTAATATCCCCAAATCCAAAAAAATTTGAAATCTGAAACTTCTGGTCCAGAGGATTTCAGATAAGTGATACTCAACCTGTACTCTCCCATATTGAAAATCAAGTTGTAATAAATATTGTTTTTGAGACTTAATTTTGTTGAAATGTACTCCTAGCTCATTCAATTTAACTACTGAACAGCATTCACTGTACAAATAAACAATTTTACCCATTCCCAGATTAATGCATAGTTGTACTGGTTCCATTCTTTCATATTTTTTATACAGTCACATACAACATCACAATGTTTTGTCACTACAGACCACATATATGACAGTGGTCTTATATAATGGAGCTGAAAAATTCTTATTGTCTAGTTACATCATAGCACAACGCATTACTCACATGTTTGTGGTGACACTGGTATAAACAAACCTACTGACAGTCATATAAAGGCATAGCATGGACAATTTTGTACAGTGCATAACACTTGATAATGATAATAATGTTATTGGTTTGAGTATTTACTATCCTATTATTTTTATTAGAGTGTATTTGTTCTACTTATTTAAAAAAAAAGTTAACTATAAAACAGCCTAATAAAGTAGGTACTTCAGGAGGTATTCTAGAAGATGGCATTATTGTCACCAGAGATGACAATTCCATGTGTGTTACTATCCTTGAAGATCTTCCAGTGAGACAAGATGTGGAGGTGGAAGATAGTAATATTGATGATCCCGACCTTGTGTAGGCCTAGGCAAATGTGTATGTGTCTTACTTTTGAACAAAAAAGTTTGAGAAGCAAAAAACTATTAAAAATGGAAAAAAGCTTATAGAATAAGGATATAAAGAAAGAAAATATTTTTGTATAATTTTACAATATGTTTGTTTTAGGGTATTATTACAAAAAAGTCTAACAGTTAAAAAAATTAAAACATTTATAAAGTAAAAAAATTATAGTAAGCTAGGGTTAATTTAATATCAAAGTAAGAAAAAAAGTTTTTATAAACTAAATGTAGGCTAAGTGTTCACAGTGTCTATAAAGTCTAAAGTAGTATATAGTAATGTCATAGGTCTTCCTATTCACTCACCAGTTACTCACTGACTTATGTAGTGCACCTTCCTTCCAGTCTTGCAAGCTCCATTCATGGTAGGTTGGTAAGTGACCTATGCAGGTGTACCATTTTTATTTTATTTTTTATTTATTTATTTTATTTTATTTTATTTTATTTTATTTTATTTTATTTTATTTTTTAGGCAGAGTCTCACTCTGCTGTCCTGGCTAGAGTGCCGTGGCATCAACCTAGCTCACAGCAACCTCAAACTCCTGGGCTCAAGCAATCCTTCTGCCTCAGCCTCCCGAGTAGCTGGGACTACAGGCATGCACCACCGTGCCCGGCTAATTTTTTCTATGTATTTTTAGCTGGCCAATTATTTTCTTTCTATTTATAGTAGAGATGGGGTCTCACTCTTGCTCAGACTGGTTTCAAACTCCTTACCTTGAGCGGTCCACCAGCCTTGGCCTCCCAGAGTGCTAGGATTACAGGCGTGAGCCACTGCGCCCGGCCTCCATTTATTTTTGTTATTTTTTTTAGAGATGAGGTCTCACTGTCACCCAGGCTGGAGTGCAGTGGCATGATCACAGTTCACCGCAGCCTCAAACTCCTGGGCTCAAATGATCCCCGCTGCCTCAGCATCTCAAGCAGGTGGGACCATGCCTGGTTAATTTTCTTTTCTTTTTTGTGGAGACGAAGGTCTTACTATATTGCCATAGCTAGTCTTAAACTCCTTGGCCTCCCAAAGTGCTTGCATTACAGGAGTCAAGCATGAGCCACTATGCCTGGCCCTTATAAAAGACACTTTAAAAATAGAGGTTGCAAATAAGAGGACGGAAAAATACATGCTATTTAAATGCTACCCAAAAGAATGCTTAAGATATGTTTTTTTTTTTTTTTTTCAGAGACAAGGTCTTGCTTTGTTACCCAGGCCAGAGAGCAGTGGTGCTCGTCTTCATAGCTTACTGCAACTTCAAACTCCTGGGCTAAAACAATCCTTCTGTCTCAGCCTATCGAGTAGCTAGGACTACAGGCGCACCCCAAGATGCTAGGTTAATTTAAGAAATTTTTTTGTAAAGCGCAGGCACAGTGGCTCACACCTCTAATCTTAGCACTTTGGGAGGCCAAGATGGGAGGATCACTTGAGTCCAGCCTGAGCAAGAGCAAAACCCCATCTCTACAAAAAATAGAAAAATGAGCTGGGCGCGGTGGCTCGTGCCTGTAGTCCCAGTTACTCGGGAGGCTGAGGCAGGAGGATCACTTGAGCCCAGGAGTTTGAGGTTGCAGTGAGCTATGATGACGAACGCCACCTGCACTCTACCCTGAGTGACAGAGACCCTGTCTCCAAAAAGAAAACATTTTGTGAAATGGGGTCTCACTATGTTGTTTAGGCTGGTCTCAAACTCCTGGCCTCAAGTGATCTTCTCACCTTAGCCTTACAAAAGCTAGGATTACACATGTGAGCCACTGTACCTGGTCAAGACACTCTTAATGTCAGATAAAATAGGTTTCAAGACAAGAAATAATACTATAAACAGAGAAAAACATTTCATTAATGATATAAGTCAATATATCATGAAGATATGATAAATTTAAATTGCCTAGTATAGCTTCAAATACTATCAAAAACTGACATAATCCAAAGGCGAAAAAGACAAATCCAAAAAAAACAGAATATGAAAGAAATCAAAGAAGAGTTAAGTAAATGGAAAAACATTCCATGTTATTTAAGATTGGAAGACTTAATATTGTTAAGATGGCAATAATACCAAAGAGATCTACATATTTCATATAATACCTATCAAATTCTGATGGCCTTTTTTGCAGAAATGGAAAGGCCCAAGCACAAATTCATATGGAGTTGCCAGGAACCCAAATACTCAAAACAATCTTGAAAAAGAAAAGCCAAGTTGGAAGACTCATAATCCCCAGTTTTAAAACTTACTACACAAAGTTACAGTAATCAAAGCAATGCACAGTTTTGATATAAGGATAGAAATATATAATGAAGTAAAAGTGAGAGTCCAGAAAAAAAAAAACACCTTACATTTATGGTCAACTGATATTTGACTAGGGTACCAAGACTATTTGATGGGAAGAGGAAAGTCTCTTCAACAAATGATGCCAGAATAACTAGATATATACTTGCAAAAGAATGAAGCTGGGCCCTTTCTTCCTACCATATACAAAAATTAACTCAAAATGAATAAATGACTAAATATAGGAGCTAAAAACATAAGATTCTTAGAAGAAAACATGAGGATAAATTTTCATGACCTTGGTTCAGCAACAGATTCTTAGATACAACACTAAAAGCACAAGCAACAAAGGAAAAAATGAATAAAGTAAACTTTAACAAAATTATAAACTTTTATGCATCAAAAGATGTTATTAAGAAAATGAAAAGGCAACCTTACAGAATGGGTGAAAATATCTGCAAATCACATATCTAGTAAGGGTCTAGTATTCAGAATATATTAATGCAAATAACTCTAACAAAAAAGGCAAATAATGTGATTAAAAAATAGTCAAAGGATTTGAGTAGACATTTCTCCAAAGATACACAGATGGTCAATGATCATCAGATAATGAAAAGATTTTTTCAGTATAAGGGAAATCCAAGTCAAAACCACAATGAGATACTACCTCATACCTATTAGGATGGCTACTGTCAAACAACCAGAAAATAACAGGTGTTTTGGCAAGGATGTGGAGAAATTGGAACTCTTGTATTAATACATAGCTGGTGGGAATGTAAAATGGTTGCAGCTACTGTGGAAAACAGCACGGCAAGTCTCAAAACATTAAAGACAGAATTACTATATGATCCAAGAATTCCACTCCCAGGTATTAATATATACCCCAAAGAACTGAAAACGGACACTCAAGAAATAAATTGTAGTATTAATACATATGCAATGGTATAGTATTCATACTTAAAAAAGAATGAAGTACTAATACATGTTACAACATGGATGAACCTTGAAACTATTAAGTGAAAGAAGCTAGACACAAAAGGTAACATATTGCATGATTCCATGAATATGAGCTATCCAGAACAGGCAAATACAGAGACAAAATACACAGGCAGCTGGGTGTTTGCCAGGGGCTGGGAAGAGAAAAGAATGGGTACTAACTGCTTAATAGGTATGAGGTTTCCTTTTGGGGTGATGAAGATGTTATGGAACTTGATGGAAGTGGTGGTTGTAACATTTTAAATGTACCAAATGCCACTGAATCGATCAGTGATGTAAAAATGGTTAATTTTATGTTATGTGAATTTCACTTTGACTACAAATATGCAAAAAAATCCCACAACTTCCAAACCCCAAAACAAAAAGCCACATACAACTAAAATGACAGAATACAAATTCTTTTCTAAGTGTACATGTATCATTCTAAGAGAGAATTTGTGATGGGCCACAAAATAGGACTCAACAAAATCTGAAACACTGAAATCTTAGAGTTGGTTCTCTGACCACATGTAATTAGAATAAAAATTAATAAAGTAACTAGAAAGCTCTCAAATATTTGGAAATTAACACAGTTCTAAATAAATCATAGAGAGGAGAGGGAGAGGAAAAGGGAAAGGGGGAAAGGGAAAGGGAAGGAAAGGAGAAAGGAAGGGGGAAAGGAAAGGAAAGGAAAAAGGGGAAGGGGGAAGGGAAAAGGAAAGGAAAAATGGGAGGAAGGGGAAGGGAAAGGAAAGGAAAAAGGAAAAGAAATCTAAAATCAATGATCTATGCTTTTACCTTAAGCTAGAAACAAAGGATCAAATTAAACCCCACGTAGAATAATAATTATAATAAAAACAGAAATAGTTCAAATAGAAAATAAAATAATAAAGAAAGTTAATGAAAGCATAAGTTGTTTTTTTAAGAACATCAATAGAACAAATCTCTAGCTAAAGTAATTGACAAAGGAAACAGAAGAGATCAAAGTTATCAATATCAAGAATTAAAGAGGAGAAATCATTACAGATCCTAAAGATATTAAAAGTACAATAAAAATTATGAATAATTTTATGACAATAAACTTACAACAAAATGAAATAAACACAAACTACCAAAATTGATCCAAAAAGAAATAGGACATCAGAATAGTTCTACATCTTGCTAAGAAATTGAATTTATAATTTAAAAACCTTCAAAAACCTGCAAAATAACTCCAGATACAGATGAATTCATTGGCAAATTCTAGCAAACATTTAAGAAGAAATAACATCAATCCTACACAAACTCCTTCAGAAAATAAAAGGAGAGAACAATGCCCAGCACGTTTTGAGGCCAGTACCAAAGACATTACAAGTGAACTATAGACCAATATCCTTCATGAACGTAGATGCAAAAATCCTTAACAAGTATCAGCAAATTGAATACAGCAATATATAAAAAGAATACTATATCATGACCAAGTGGAGTCTGTTTCAGAAATTAGAAGTTAGTTAAACATTCAAAAGTCAGTCAATACAATTCATCTTATTAATAGAATAAAGGAGAAAAATCACATAACTACCTTAACAGATGCAGAAAAACATTTCAAAAAACTTAACACCCTACCATGGCAAAGAGTCTCAGTATACTAGGAATTGAAGAGAAGTTCCTCAACCTGATAGAAGATATATATAAAAACTATGCAAATAATATCACATTTAATGATGAAAGACTGAATACTTTCCCCTGAGAAACAAGGCAAAAATATATATTTCCCAAACTTCTATTCAACATTGTATGAGAGCCTCTAGCTAGCACAATGAGGCAAGAAAAAAAAGGCATACAGATTGGAAAAGATTATGTATAAAATAATCTTGTATGTAGAAAATCCTAAGCAGTCCACTAAAAAAACCCTACTAAAATAACCAAATTAAAAAGTCTACAGGATATAAGGTCAATATGTAAAAATCAACTTTATTCCTATATACTAGTAATTAACAGGTAGAAAATAAAATTTAAAAACATTTCCCTTTAGAATAGCATCTAAAAACATTAAATACTTAGGGATATATTTAATAAAATAGGCACAGTATCTGTATAATGAAAACTGCAAAATACTATTGAGAAAAATTAAGAAAGATCTAAGTAAGTGGAACGAGTTAATATATTCCTACATTGAAGGAACCAATATTGTTAAGATGTTAATTCTCCCCAGACTAATATATTTATTCCTCAAATGCTATTATTTCATTTTTATAGTATATTTATACCACTTATTGTATTTCTCTTAGGCTAATTAAAAAATATATCTCTCAGAGTCAGAAAAAACCCCAAAGGTCACATAGTTTAATCATCCAACGGAAATGTTTTCCTGTCACATGGTTGTCTAGCATGTGCTTGAAAATCTGCAGAGGAGGGAAGATAACTAAATGCTTTGCTTATACACTCTCACAAATTCTCTCCATGAAATTCTCTCCATGAAAAATTTAAAAATAATCTCTTTGAAGTTAAAACTGATCTTAAATGATAGGCTCCCATGAGGGAGAAAAGATGAAAAAGTAATGTACCTGTGGTGATGGCTGCTGAATATATCCCTGCTGCTGGAGCACAGGCTGGCTGACAGGATGACCAGAGGCAGAATAGCCAGCAGTAGGGACTGGCTGCCCAGGTGGTAGGGGAGGAGGAGGGGGTGGTGGTGGTGGCGGCGGCGGAGGATGTGGTGGAGGGGCTGCTGTCATGATAAAACCAGATTGCTGTGGAGACTGAAGAACAACAGTGGACTGGAACATGGTGGCGTGAGGGTCAGAACCATCAGTGGATGGCTGGCGGGCAAGACTCATGTGGCTAAACTGAGACCCAAGGTTATCCTGTTAAAAAGGAAAAAAGTCAGAAATCAGTAAGCCTTTTACAATAGGCCAAACTTATCAAAGAAAAATGCCTTATATATTTAAATGAGTGGCAGTTAGCATATAATATGGAAATTATATATTCACAACAGAAATGATGTAATAGAAGAGCAGCTTCAAGAAAATAACTCTAAGGTAGGAATATTACGTGTTATTATAAATTATTTATAAAATATATCTAATGGAAATATATAGCATGCAGAAAAGTGTAGGGTACAACATTTCATGTTAAAAAATTAAAAGACATGTATTTAAGTAAAGATTAAAGGCATATTAGGATATGGAAGTGAAACTGGATATATTAACATTTTCTGAAAGAACTTCAAAGACTAAGCAGTGAGCAAGGTACTAATTACTCTATATGTGAATCTATCTCCCCTCTTCCTAGAAGGCAAAATTACTTGTAGAAATTACTACAAAATTACTTGTAGAAATTAAATACAAAAAATCCAACCACCTAGTCCTTTCTCTAATCTCAAAAATAATTTGGCTATAAATTCTATTCTTCCCTTGTGGTTTTCAGTCTGTTCCTAAAATTAGATGTTAGAAAAATGTAATCCAAATTATAGTTTCCTACTGCTTTTACTAATTGGTAGCAACTAATGGTGCCCTGCCAAGATAGAGTTATGATTTTTGTGTCATCTGATAAACATTACTCTGACTCAAGAGCAGAAGGACCAGCTCTTATTGTTCCAGAAAATTATCACTAAAATGACAATATGGGGTTAAAATGGAATTCTTCTGTTCCCAAGGAGCCATGAATTGACAACAAAATATACCACATTTTGTTGAGGTCAACATTTAAAAAAGTGACTTTACAACATTGTGGCGATTGAGTTGTCAGATCAAAGTTGACAAGTCTACAGTTTCTAGAGTCTGCTTGTTTTTGTAAAGTATAATAAATTAAGGTTGTGGAAAAAGATAAAGGATTGAAAAGGGGGAGGCTGATTTAATGACTGAAAATATTATGGTTTTACTCTTTCCAAATTGTCACTCTGACGCACTCTAGCACTGTTAGTCTAATTCAATGAATGGTTTAAAAAAAAAATGTGTAACTATTAGCTGTAATTTCAAAGTTATATGGCCAAATATTTTTTTTTTCTTTTTGAGAGAGAGTTTCACTCTGTTGCCTGGGCTAGCATGCCAATATGGCCAAATATTTTTAAGAGATACCATACCTGTATACCACTGTCAGAGTCACAATGGAAAAACGTCATTTTCTTATTCCAATAAAAATTCCATTTTCCAAAACATTTTTTTTTTTTTATACTGCACAGAAGAGCTGCATCCAAAACATTTTTGAAGCTTTTTTTGCTATTCTTTTCTGTATGTTTTCAATCTTTTCAATGCTGGAAAAATTCATTCTTTCAGACTGGAAGTGATTTTTGAAAATCATTCAGAGCCAACGCTGGTAAATACGTTGTCCCAGCTCAAAAACAAACAAACAAAAACACCTCTCAAAAAGAAAATGTTTCTAAAATGTATTAAGAAAGATTTTCATATATAGGTTATAATCTGACTTGGAAAGCAATTTCAAAATGTGACAGCCATATAGTCTGAAAAATAAAAGTATCACTGGGGAAAGTATATAGGCTGTTAGGGAAATTCTTTTTTTTTTTTGAGACAGACTCTCACTTTGTTGCCCAGGCTAGAGTGAGTGCCATGGCATCAGCCTAGCTCACAGCAACCTCAAACTCCTGGGCTCAAGCAATCCTCCTGCCTCAGCCTCCCAAGTAGCTGGGACTACAGGCATGCACCACCATGCCTGGCTAATTTTTTCTATATATACATTAGTTGGCCAATTAATTTCTTTCTATTTATAGTAGAGACGAGGTCTTGCTTTTGCTCAGGCTGGTTTCGAATTCCTGACCTCGAGCAATCCGCCCGCCTCAGCCTCCCAGAGTGCTAGGATTACAGGCGTGAGCCACCGCGCCCGGCCTGGGAAATTCATTTTAAGTAAAGGATACTAACATTTATTGAATATCTACTTCATGTTAGGCACTATGCAGAAGGTACTTTACTGTCTCATATGCTTAGTAACCACAGAAGGTCAAATAGTTCAAACATAGCAGAATGAGTCAGATTTTACTGAGAGTTATAGCTTGGGACATACTTTGGATTAAAGGAGCTACCATTACTTTACAGACATAGACTAAATATCTAGAGATCTTCTTTGGAAAAAGAAAGAAGTACATTGTAACTATAAGCTACAATTCATTCTAATAACTTGTACTGAGTCTACTAGACCTACATTGCTGGGGAGGGAATACAAAGCCTAAACCCAGATGAAAGCTACCATCCAAGGACAGCACAAATCTTGCAATGACCTCAATGAGAAAAATAACTAAAACACCTTAGGACTAGTCAATCTGGAAATTACTTCATTATGAAAAAGCAGAAAAAGATTAGAGCTTAAACAATCACTATAATAAGCCAACATAACTAATTTTTTTATGGAAGAGAATAATTTATTTCTAATATGGATTAGAAACATTTTTTTTTTTTGGTATATATGTATCCCTGACTTTAAAAAAAATCACAAAAGGTTGTAAGCATTCATCACACGTCCACCCACAGAAACAATGCAGGAGGTGAATAGAAATATAGTACCACGGAGTATTGCTGGGTGGGTGAGACTGGCAGGAGCGGGGATGGGTAAGGGACTGTAGAGTACTGAACAGGCTGTGAAGAGGACTGCAGAGGACGAACAGGCTAAAGAATAACAGGTTGGCAAACAATGTTAATGTCAGAATAAAAACTTAGAAAAATTGCATAAAATGGAAATTTACACTTTTTTTGCAATATCTTTAATTACATTTAGAAAGTCATTCAAAATACAACAATACAGGAAACAACAAAAACAATACTAAGTGAAAAAATTCTACATAGTAAAACTTTTGAAAACATACATAATTAGAACAAGTTTTTTTTGCAATAAAAATACTTCTTTATTACAAATGAACTGAAACAGGTAATTCAGGTACTTTGAACTCTACATCTAACGAAGCCCCTGGGTTAAGTCAGGCAAACTGTTTATCCTTATTTCCTGGTTTTCCTAAAAGGGCTGCCTTATTTATCTATGTAATATTTAATACTAAATTATAAATGAAAAACATTATTCTTTCTTATTATCAGACTAATAATTTATATAATATCTATGCCAATTACCCTATTTGATAAGGCATGATTAAATACTCTTTTGGGGCTAAAGTCCCAAAGTTTTAGCACTTTTATAAGAAAAATGTACTATGGATACTACTAAGAATAACAGCCTAAGGAACAACACACACATACATACACACATATGCACACACATAAAATACCTTTTTTATGTATATAAAATGAAAATTAAACACTTTCTTGTAACTAAATACATTTTTATTAAGGAACGTATATGTTAGCAGCTGAGAAACTAGTTACGTGAAATCTTTGGCCATTAGTGAAATACTCCTGAGTTTCAAAGGAAAAAGAGTCTTTATGTGGGACATAAAAATTCTTTTTTAACAAGAGTGCCTGAAGGCCCTTAAAAATAAGTATTTTAAAAATAGAGAAAGTATTAATCCTGGCCAGGCGCAGTGGCTCTCGCCTGTAATCCTAGCACTCCGGGAGGTCGAGGCGGGCAGATCCCTCAAGGTCAAGAGTTCAAAACCAGCTTGAGCAAGAGCGAGACCCTGTCTCTACTAAAAATAGAAAGAAATTAATTGGCCAACTAAAAATACATAGAAAAAATTAGCTGGGAATAGTGGCGCATGCCTGTAGCCCTAGCTACTTGGGAGGCTAAGGCAGAAGGACTGCTTGAGCCCAAGAGTTTGAGGTTGCTGTGAGCTAGGCTGATGCCACAGCACTCTAGCCGGGACAACAGAGTGAGACTCTGTCTCAAAAAAACCAAAAAAGTATTAATCCCTTCTCAATCCTGGGAATATAGATGGTCATCCACAAGCTAACACTAGCACCCAATTTAATCTCCTAATCTTATATTTTTACAGTTTATTATAAAAAGGTAATTAATATCCATATCAGCTTAAAGACTATAGTAAATCCACTTTACAGATGGCAATCAGACTAAAGTAAATTAAGTGACCTGTAGACAGCCATGTAAGCAAGCAGATAAGGATCACAGGTAATCTTATCTGATGAAAACTCTTACTTTTGTTTAAAATGCATATATATGACTCTCCCTCTGGACAGCATCTCTGAAGAGAATACTTTTATGGGAAAATTCTTACGATAACAAAGATGTATAATGATGAGTTACACTTTTACCACAAAAATCAACACAATAGTTTCTAAAAAAACCAAAAGGCCTAGATTAGCTTAGAATCCAGAAAAAAAATCTAAAATTAAGGTAAACACCAAAAAAAGTAAAAGCTGAAAGATCTATATAGTCATCTGTGGTCCCTGACAAACTTTCTGACTAGAAATAAGCGAGTTTCCTAATGGATGATGGCACATACGACACTAAATGCGGTGTAGCAGCTTTAGAACTTCCAAGAACAGCCTATTTGATGTGTTATTGAGATAACCATTAAGACATAACTTTCTTCCAGACAACTTGACCTCCTATGTAAATGTCAGATGAAACAAAAGTTTTAGTCTACTAGGGGATAAATGAAAGAGGACTATGAGTACCAAGAGTATGAATTAATGTCTCCTCGAACATCAAAAAGTAATAAGAAAACTTAGAAGACCAACTGATCATAACTTTCTGACACCGCTTGGAAAAGAAAAAAGCCTTAGCACTTCCTTTTCCTACTTGAATTGCAACGGGCTGCAAAACAACATCCACCTAAAGTAATTGGTTCTATATTGTATGTTCAAGAAATGTAGGCTAACTGAAGGCTTTGTTATCCTGTTTGGTTATTTGAAATCCCATGGATGAATTTTCTCAGTATGTGTAAATGACAGTTATTGAGCACCATTTGTTCTTTGAGTCTCTGTTTCTAGGTTTGATGAAAAATTACCTAAAACATTTGAAACAATGCTAGAAAAATCAGTCATGGAGTTTGATGCATATGTCAAAACTTCAAATTAGTGCTCACTGAAGTATCTGTTTCTAAACTAGGCTGCCTCTACTCTCATTTACAATTATCTCATAATTAAATCAAAGTTATTTCTGAGATAATCATCTGAAATACATATTCACAAATAAATCTTTAGAATTTTTTGAAGCTGCCAGATTTTTTTTTTTTTTTGAGACAATCTCACTTTGTTGCCTAGGCTAGACTGAGTGCCATGGCATCAGCCTAGCTCACAGCAACCAATTCTTTTATAAGTAAATACTCTGCATGTTCTTACCAGTGGAATATTTAGACAGTCTTGCAGGGAAAAAGAGTTATAACTGTATAAACTGTCTTTGACATGTTATACAACCTTTAAGAATTAGAATAAAGATAAAAGAGTTTATACTGATATGATCAAGTTCTCCAAAGATGGTGAAAAAGACTAAATGTGAAGATGTTTGTGTAAACTCTAAACATTCACACAAATTCAATATATTATTAAGAGTACTTCTGGGAATTGTAACTCATAGAATTTCTTTGTCTCCCTCTCTCTCCCTCATAACGCAGGTGGAATGAATACAGAGTACCTTGCAGAACATAAGTAACCCATCTCAGTTTCTTCTAACTGCTTAATCTGTTGAATCTTTTTCTTTTTGAGACAGAGTCTTGCTTTCACCCAGGCTAGAGTGCCGTGGCATCAGCCTAGCTCACAGCAACCTCAAACTCTTGGGCTCAAGCGGTTCTCCTGTCTCAGCCTCCCCAGTAGTTGGGACCAAAGGTGCACACGGCTAATTTTTTCTATTTTTAGTAGAGATGGGGGTCTCACCCTTGCTCAGGCTGGTCTTGAACTCCTGACCTCAAGTGATCCTCCCACCTCAGCCTTCCAGAGTGCTAGGATTATAGGAGGGAGCCACCATGACTGGTCAATCTGTTGAATCTTAGAACAACTCACTTTGCTCACTAGGCCAATAAACAATCTTATTAGTTTTGTTTTTATTTCTCCTCTTGTCCATTTCTTGCTGTTGTGAAGTAGGAATAAAATACTCACCAGAAAGGCTCATGAGATTAAAAAAATTCCCCTTTCCAATATACAATCAGTATTTATTATATGAAAAGCTCTTGAAATTAACCCTCTCATCCTATGAGTAATGAGTGGAACCTCTCTGGTGGCAGAAACTAAAGGCAGTAAACTTTAGCATTATGTAATCGTGGATATGTGCACCTGTGAGAAAATGTGATTAGCTGCTGGTTGTTGAGTTGGTGGGGGTGGCAGAGGTGGCTGTGGAGGTCCAGGCACTTGGGGTCTAACTGGTTGTTGAGTCATAGGAGGATTATACACAACTGGACTCCCATCTGGGTTTATGAAGGGCTGACCTGAAAAATTTAAAGAGGAAGGAAACAAAACAAAACAAAACAATTTACAATAGAGACCGAAAACAAGTCATACTACTAACAATTTACAAAACATGTCCACAAACCTTTATCCACAATTCCAAAACCTTCAATTTTTTGAAAACCAAAAGATTTTCTCAGCTTGGGAAGCAGCTTGATAAGATACGAGACTATCAGTAATCTTTATTTTTTTCACTTAGAGTAAACATTCAAATGTTTTACTGAAGTGTTTTACATGGGGTGTTGCCTCAGGCCCTACTGAGCTTATTATTATAATATGTAGTATTTTCTGAAAAGCTCTGAATTATGAAACACATTTTGCCGAAGGGATTCAATTGCAGGATTATGGTCCTATAGGTCTGCAACAAAATTTATATTAGTTTAAAGAAAAAATGATTGACTTTAGGATACTGGAAAGTTACTCATTTGTTTTTATTAGAGGGTGGGAAATATCTGATTTTTAGGCCACACTGCATATATTTTACTAATAAAATTAAAACCGAAGTGATTGGCCGGGCGTGGTGGCTCACGCCTGTAATCCTAGCACTCTGGGAGGCTGAGGCGGGTGGATTGCTCAAGGTCAGGAGTTCAAGACCAGCCTGAGCAAGAGCGAGACCCTGTCTCTACTATAAATAGAAAGAGATTAATTGGCCAACTATTATATATAGAAAAAATTAGCCGGGCATGGTGGTTGCATGCCTGTAGTCCCAGCTACTTGGGAGGCTGAGGCAGTAGGATCGCTTGAGACCAGGAGTTTGAGGTTGCTGTGAGCTAGGCTCACGCCATGGCACTCACTCTAGCCTGGGCAACAAAGTGAGACTCTGTCTCAAACAAACAAACAAACAAAACAAAAACTGAAGTGATTGACAGCTTTAAACTGTGAACTTGATGGCACTGTCCTTATTTTATAACTTCTAATTTGTTAAAAGTTGTAATTTCTTTTTAATTCTAAATAATTTTCTATAGTATATATATATATATATATACACATATATATATACACACACACACACATATATATATATATATATTTTAATTCCAGTAAGCTTTATTCATTAGTAAGAGACAAAACTAGAGAGAACTTTAGTATTGATTTTGAGGTTTTGTCCTTATTACTCACTAATTACTGAAGGGGAAAAATGGGTATTTTATGTAACTAAGAAAAATAAATATTACTTTCTCTCTCTACAGATATATGCTAAACAACTTATTCTTATTATAATAAGTAACATTTATATTGTAGAAAAATAACCAACAAATAGAAATTAAAAAGAAAATAATAAATCTCCCATAATCTTACAATTAACATTTTGGATACCTTCTTCCAGACATCTTTTCAAGGAAGGTGTAAATAGATTCAAAGATTATTATTTTTCCTTATTATACACTGGTTTATTAAAAGAGAAAAAAGAAAGGACTATATGAAATAAACTGTTCTCTGACTTTTGATATCCACTTAGAGTGAGAAAAACTGAGAAACACAGGAAAATGACTGAAAAATGGTTTCTTAAACTGCCTTCAAAACATCCTTTCTTCCATGGTAAACCCTTTCCATTTTTTTTATGGGGGAAACTTGTGACAAATAATAAAATACTACTTGGGAGAGAAGACTATACTAGTCTATAGCTTTCAAGTAGAAAAAGCCTTCCAAAGTAAAATTATTCTGATTAGTTAGCATCTTGATAATTTATGTGATGGTTATAGATAACTAAAAACAAGTTACGCTGGGTATCTGTTGATTATTAAATAATTTAGAAAAAAATGGTGCAGCAAATGTGGGTGAAGGCAGGGTCAAAAGTAATGTAAGGATTGTCTGAAAAAAGCTGGATGTATTTTAACATTGTTCTCAAAAACCAAAGACATCACATTTGGATTCATTTAAAATTAAGCATACCACTGAATTTCAGGTTGATCAATTTCTCATTCTCTCACTTTGTAAGCAACTGAATCTTTCATGTTACCCAAACCATATTAACTAATGTGTTTTAAATGAAAAATCCTAGGAAACAGTAAAATATTAAACCATCTTATCTACTGCTCCAGAAAAACAGGAAGTTTAAGTAATACAAATACTTGAAGGATACACAGATAATTATGAAGCAAAAATGGAATTTAATTTCTGAAAAATCAGTTATTTAAGCTAATTCAATTCTTATATTAAAAACAAATGTTTGAATACTTTATCTTAAAAAGAAATGTGAAGAAAACCTGAAAGTAATGAGTTCCAAATCATGGTTTTGTCTACTACAAACAAAAGGACAACGGATATTCAGAAGCTTGATACTCTCACCTATATCTGCCTTGCCCAATTCCTGCCATTATGATGTGACCCCACTGGCTAAGTCCTTGAGTTTTAAAGTAAAGTTATCAAAAGAACAAAGATTGTTTTCATTACTTTGCCAAATGATTGGGCTATGTTACTCTGAATAGAGATCAAGACTTGTGATCTTTTAAAAGATTATATTTTCTCTACATCTATATTTTCTCTAATGATTTTTTACAAAATCATTTTTGTCAAACTATACAGTGAAATATAACTGCAGTTTCTTTACCTCTCTTGAGGTTCAGTTTCATTATCTGCAAATAAGGATTTCACCTGAGTTGTTATAAAGATTATAAATATTTAAAGTACCTAACACAGTATGTGGTACAAATAAATGTTCAATAAATGTAAATTATTATTAGCTAACCACAAAGAATATGTATTATAAATATTAATTCATGACTGCCCATTTTATTTTATTAATAATAGGTCCTTCAGCTTTTCCTCAGTAGAAAGCAAACACCACATCCTAAAGGGCAACTAATTATAGGTTTTTGCCACTTTATTATATAATGAAGAAGAGCTGCTTACTTGGTCCTTCTTCATAAAATGCATACTATTTTCCTCAGGATAAAACTGTCATATCAAATAAAGCTCTTTGAAAGGTGGTTGTCTCATTTCTAGGAAATGAATTATTCTCCAATTATAGTTAGGCTATTATTTGGCCTGGAAGATGTCATAGATGTCATGATGGAAAACATACTTTCTGACATAAATATGTCTTTTAACATTTTCTAGCATAAGGGTTTTTATTAAAGTTCTCAGGAAAATGCTAACTATTCATGAAAAATAAGCCGACTACACATATACAGAAAATACATTTAATAAGTATCCTTTAATTTTCAGATAATTCCTGAAACAACTTTTTCTGGATACCAACCTGTTTGTGGGTTGATCAGAATACTGCCAGGTGGTATGCCTGCCGCTTCCAAGGGAAGCAAAAAGAAGCTAGTGCTAGGAGATGCGACTTGCCCATTTAGGCCACCATCAAAGGAAAGAGAACTATGAGTGCTGACAGTTGGATAGACGACAGGTGCGCCATGAGAAGACTGGCTGAGAGCTGTACCTGGAAGAGGCTGCTGGATGTGAGAAAGAGAGCCTGTAGATGACCCTACACTACCAGAAGACTCAGAACCTAGAAGAGGAGTAATGAAAAATATGGATTTTTTAAACCTCATATAAAAACACAAGTTTTAAAAATGTAACAATAAAATTCACATTGCATAACATGCAGTTACCACATAAAAGCATCGGCTATTTTTGATTTACTGTCCAATTTTGCTTACCCTCCCCATTACGAACAAGTTTAATACAGCAAATTGATCACATAAGTTGTCAGAAAAGTCATAGCCAAAGCATGCAACTTAAGCAAATTTATAATAACACCAGCCACAGACAGTCACAAAAAGCACATTACCCACATTCCCAAAAGGACAAAGTTATGTACATTTTTACCTTTTAGATTAACACCTAGGAATATACAGATTACATTTTTCCCCCAGGAAAAAGAACTTAGCACAGCGAAATGCCCAAAACCTCTTATATCAGAAACCCCTTATCTATAAGAACACAGAAAGATTAAGAGTAGTGTAGGAAATAACAGAAATGATAAATTCTGTATTAAAAGAAACAATTATCAAATTTCATTGTAGAATTTCATTTCTTAGTTTACAATCATAGCATCTTCCTGTTAAAGCATTAACTTTCAGTTTTTTAATCTTACCAAGGGACAGAGACAACATGAAAAATATTCCAAGTACTTACATTAGCATCAGTTTAAAATTTATTTCTCACTGTACTTAATAAACTAATTTGATAATTGATTTTCAACTCCTTTCACACCTACAATCTATTTCATTTTCTATTACACAGTGACCAAAATGTTATTTAGTTTCAGCATAATGGCTAAAAAAGGTGGCCAATGAGACAATGAAAGAAAGGGAAAAGATCTGGATAATGTATATAGTTAATTAGGTTTGAATAAGGGAGTTTTGATGCCGGGATGGAGAATTAACTTTAAGTGAATGAAATAAACAATTATGATACACTATACATTGCCTTCTGAAAGACAGCTTCTATTTTAAGTTGTGCCAAACTGACTCTTGACAAGAACTGCATCAATTTATCCTAGGAATTTAAAAAAATCATTTTTTACTTATTAAAAGAAGGGTTAAATAAAATTTCTTTTCATCTCTGAAGGGAATACAGATATAAATAGTACATGATCAAATGTTTTAATTTGGCAATGTGTCTAAATGGCTTTCTAATGATATATGAGTAGTTTTTTCTGTTATGATGACACAGTAACCATTTTTCAAATAATGCATATTTGGTACATATGCAGATTTCTTATATTCCTAAAAGTTGCCTATCTGTAGTAACATAAACACTAAGACAATTCTGATATAACCATGTTGTACATTAAAAAGGTGGCAACTATAATTCATAAGCCTTAACAATTTAAATCATTGATTCTAGTTAGGTATTAATAAATATTGTTACCTTCAAATATTCCCTTCAATTCTTATCTGCACAATACCATATGTCTAGGCTAACCCCAATAGCTAGGGAGAAACAACTATTTCTGACTTTTCATGCTTATTTTGGGATAAAAACAAACATCTATAAGGTCCTAAAAGACACCTAAGCTTCTTTAGTATTGAAGCCAGTTAGTGAAAATGAAAAGAGAAAAGGTTATGAGCCAAGGTACTCTGAAAGAAAGCAGTTTAGGAGAATGAGATTATTGAAATTTCCCATCAATTATAATAGTTACATCATATTGTTTTTCTTTGGTTTTTAAATTCCTCAAAAAACTATCAGCCATTTATTCATTTTTTGAATGTTAAATGAAGGATTTTATCATGAAAAATGCAATCAATGTTAAATAATCCTAGGTGAGAAACCATGCCTTCCAACTATAAATAAGCAATGAAGAATTTGCAATCACCTATTGGGTATTCAAACAAGAGAGGACATTCACCGAACCTACCTGATTAAGTTTATATCACCACAGACAAGAATTTTTATTTTAATTGATGTTTGTAAATCTATTTCCAGGACAGAAAGTGAATCTTAATGTCAATAAACATACCACTCCTTAACTACTCTGGAGGTTGTCAAGGAACTGCTGGTAATGATTTTACATTTTAGGGTAATTAGAAGCCATATAATAAATACAGAGCTAACAAAACACTAGGAAAATTAATGTCTTGACTGCACAGGTTTAGGTAGATATTTATACCTGTTTTTGAAAGCCTGCCTATGCTTTTGCTGCTTCCAGAACTATCACCTCTTGTCAGGACTGAGATTCCACTGAAGCTGCTGGCTTTGGTTACGGCAGGTTTTAGGTTTCGGAGAGAGCTGTCTGAATCTGTGCTGCTCCAGGGTCGTGGTTCTGAATACTTCAACTCATTCTCAGTGCTGCTTTGATGGCTATTTGTTGATCTTCCTGAAGCATCTTTATTAACTCTGTAATTTAGAAGTAGAACTTTGAAAAGCTAATAGGGGGGAAAAAGAATAAAGAAAAAGTGTTTTAATTTTTCAATACTATATTGAAAACATGCTTCTAATACCTGAATATCTGGCGCCTCTGCTGGGTACTACTAGCATCCTCATCTTGGATTCTGTTGGCATTTGAATAAGATATTTTAATTTTTATTACCATTGGTCAGACAGTTACCAAAACAGATTTTAAAAATTCCCTCACCTTTTGTCAATAATATAATTCTCTTGGGAACACAGGGACTAGAAAGAAAGAATAGATACATAAAGTTGAGCTTTTGTCAAATACGTAATGCTATCTGTAAACCAATGATGACAACAATATGAGTAATAATATTTAAAAAGTCCAAAATGGTGATAAGGATACACAAATAAGTGAAAATGGAATTTATTACTGCCTTGGAGACACAATGCTTACTTAAAACAGATAAATCTTGAAGCCATTCATTTTGTGGTCCAAATTAATTTGAAATTCAAATATTAAATTCCAAACAAGTGAACCCATTTTCATTGTCATATATTCAAGGTATATGCCAGTCTGCAGATTCCACATCATTCACTTATTATCTGATCACCAGTGCTGTGGAAATAGCAGTGAATAAGCAGCTGTGCCTTAATGGAGCTTATAGTAAAACTCCTCCAGCACTATTAACCTAGGTCAGGCAATTATCCTTTTGTTTGTATTATTGCAACAGTCTTCTAACTCGTTTTCCAGCCAGCAATTTTTGCCCTTTTCATCCATTTTATACAACAGAAGCCACAGCAATGTCTCCTAAAATGTCAATCTGATCATACCTCTTCCCTCTTGAATGGCTCCCACATGTTTTTTAGCACAGGGGTCAGCAAACTACAGCCAGCTGCCTGTTTCTATAAATATTTATTGGAACACAGCTATGACTGTTCATTTATGAATTGTCTATGGCTGCTTTCATACTAAAAGATCAGATTTGAGTAATTGTAATGAAAATAAAGACCATATGGCTCAAAAAACCTAAAATATTTATTATCTATCCCTTTATAGAAAAAAGTGTGTTGACCAAAAAAAAGCCAAAAGTCTAACCACCTTAACAAACTTTCAGGGCCAAGTCACCTGTTTTCTGATTATTTTTCCAATCTAAACCTTTGTCACTCCTGCACCACCCAGACTATAATCTAACTACTCTGAATTTTTCAATTCCTCACAAGTGTCAAGTTCTTCCTTACCTCTGGGCCTCTGCAAATACTGACCCTCTACTTAGAACTCTTCACTCCTGTAGGTCACCTCTTGGAAGCTAACTCTCTTCATCCCCTTCCCAGTTCTAATTTGTGGTGCTTTTCTGCTGTGTCTCCTAATATACCTTCACGTCTCTATAGAAAATATACACCATATTGTCATTACTGGACGACTTACCATGGGCAGAGACCCCATCTATCTAAACTAGACAAATAGACATACATCTAGTACTTTAGCAGACCTGGGTTGAGATCCCAGTACTGTCATTTTCTAGCTGTGTGATCTCTGGCTATTTTACTTAGCTTCCTGAAATCTCAGTTTCCTCATTTGTAAATAAAAACAATGATAGTATCTACCATACGGTGTTGTTTTGGGGATAAATTGTTATATCTGTCCATAGATATGTTCTCCAGTATCCAGCACAGCACTTACCAAAGATGCTCAATAAGAGTTGTTGAATGAATGCTATACATTATTAACTGATGGTCTGGATTTTAATGTTATTTAATCTGCATTCTAACACAGAGGAAATTTCTATCTGTGGCAGTGTTAATACACATTACATACATTTATATATTCTTCAATAGTACCTAGTACTTCAAAGAATAGATGCTAAACAAATGTTGGTAAAACCAAACTGACTCCCTTATAGTATATATGCATAAAATAGTTAATCATTTAGACCTCTCTCACATAATCACTTGTAAGGTAGAAAAGAAATAATAATCTGAAAATCAATTAGCTTTATTTTAAAAGAAGAAACAAGTTATTTGTTAAGGAAAGTCCACAAACAAGTAGGATTTAGAGATATGATTTTGTAGACAGTAGACCAATGTTCTAAAAAATCTCAAGTCTAGGCAGGGTGCAGTGGCTCACGCCTGTAATCCTAGCACTCTGGAAGGCCGAGACAGGCGGATTGCTCGAGGTCAGGAGTTCGAAACCAGCCTGAGCAAGAGCGAGACCCCGTCTCTACTATAAACAGAAAGAAATTAATTGCCCAACTAATATATATAGAAAAAATTAGCTGGACATGGTGGTGCATGGCTGTAGTCCCAGCTACTCGGGAGGCTGAGGCAGGAGGATCACTTGAGCCCAGGAGATTGAGGTTGCTGTGAGCTAGGCTGATGCCACGGCACTCACTCTAGCCAGGGAAACAAAGCGAGATTCTGTCTCAAAAAAAAAAACAAAAAACCCTCAAGTCTATCAAAAGTATGAAAAAGAAAAAAAAAAAAACAAACTATATGCTCAGTCCAATAATTTTTCAATAACTCCTATAGTACATCTGCTTCCAACTTTTATATAGTATTTTATAAGCTATTAAATTATTAACACAAATAAGACAGATCTCATTATTTCTAAAAGATGACCTTATATGTAACAAATATGATTAAAAATAAATGTGATCAGGCCAGGCATGGTGGTTTATGCCTGTAATCCTAGCACTTTGGGAGGCCAAGGCGGGAGGATCACTTGTGGCCAGAGTTTGAGACCAGCCTGAGCAAGAGCGAGACCCGTCTCCACAAAAAAAATAGAAAAATTACCCAGGCATGGTGGCACGAGCCTGTAGTCCCAGCTACTCGGGAGGCTGAGGCAGGAAGACTGCTTGGGCCCAGGAATTCAAGGTTGCCATGAGCTATAATGAGGCTACCAATTCCAGCCTGAGTGACAGAGCAAAACCGTGTCTCAATTAAAAAAAATGTAATCAATAAATTATAGGGGGAATGAGACCCTACAATGCAATTAGAATATATTCTAATATAAAAACCTAAATATAGGTTAATACATACATCTTGGGAAAATATCCGGTCTCTAGCTCTCTGGTACTCTTCTTCTCTTTCTTCTATAGATTTGCTTCTTCTGTCATCTTTCAAACGTATTCTCATCTAAAGAAAAGAGAATAATTATTTATTAGGAAAATGAACTACTGGTGTATAAGTCTTGCATCTGTAAAAATGCTATAATTGTTCTAGATTACCTGGGTGTCATCTTTGTCAAAGCTAGAGTTATCTCTCTTGAGGATATACCGTTTCTGAAAGTCTTCACCTTTATCATCCTTAATATGTTCATTAAATTTCTGATCAGGTCTACAAAAAAACACAAAACAAAGGAAAAAAAAAGATAACATGCAATATTTATAGAAAAGTCAACCATTAACATTTAATCAAAGTAGTTAAGTAATAAAACTTACCACTTATTAGCGACATTCACAGATAACTTATGTTATCTCATTTAGTCCTCACAATAATCTCATGAGAAAATACTAACTATCCCATGTTATGGTTGAGAGGCCAAATCAAATACTGTATGGGCTTTGGAGTCGGACTGCCTGGGTTCAAATATTAAGCTTTACCACTCTAGTTGCTCTATGACTTGCACAAATTACTTACCCTTTCTATTTCCCAGTTTCCTCACTTGTAAAATGGGACTTATCTAGAGTACCTACTTTATAGGGTTACTCTGAAGATGAAGGGTGTTAATAATACATGAACAACAACACATAAAACAATAAACACTCAGAAGTTTGTTATTATAAACATTATTGAAAAAACTGAGGTTCAAATGGCAAAGGGCAAGCACATCACTGAGCCATAGCCAGAGCCTAGGTCAGTCAGACCCAAAGCCTATACTTCGTTTTTTTGCAATGCTTCCTCTTACTCTATGAAAAAATTCTGGGACAAAGAAGAAAGTATAGCACTGTATCTCATATCACTCCTACAGTTCCTAGTTTGGTATCATACAAAATGAAAATAATCAAATATTTTGTAGTTGAATCAACTAAAAACTTAATGACTACTTCAAAATGCATTCAAGTTACCAACAGTTCTTAATTACAGCAGGGCACAGCTTTGTTTTACTTTAACTGAAACAGGTTAGAAAAGAGAAATTCTTTTTTGAAGGTTACCGTTATAACCTCAAACAATGATTAAGAAATCTCAGCAATACATTTTATAGTGGATTGGTCTTTCTTCTGTGGAAATGTGGCAAGTTCCACTGAGATTTAGAGGACAGACACAGGTTGTGCCCTTGGAAAATTATAATTAGATAAAATTTCACCTCTCAAAAAATACTCTCAGCTTCAGCAAATTAATTCAATCAATATCATGACTTAATATCACACCGTATTACAAAATTAGAATTACTCTTTTTTTTTTTTTTTTTGAGACAGAGTCTGGCTTTGTTGCCCTGGCTAGAGTGAGTGCGGTGGCATCAGCCTAGCTCACAGCAACCTCAATCTCCTGGGCTCAAGCAATCCTGCTGCCTCAGCCTCCCGAGTAGCTGGGACTACAGGCATGCGCCACCATGCCTGGCTAATTATTTCTATATATAATAGTTGGGCAATTAATTTCTTTCTATTTTTATAGTGGAGACGGGGTCTTGGTTTTGCTCAGGCTGGTTTCGAACTCCTGACCTCGAGCAATCCGCCCGTCTCGGCCTTCCAGAGTGCCAGGATTACAGGCATGAGCCACCGCACCCGGCCTAGAATTACTCTTTTGAAATATATGGTATACAAAAATATATTTAATGGCTATAAAGAAAATCGAATTGAACCCCCTAAGTATTACGTTTTTACATAGAGTTCAAATATCTATTACATAGTTACATAATATATGTGAATACCCTAAGTAAATTCCTAATCCAACTAAACCTGAATAATGACATTTTCAGCAAACTTCATTATATATAGGACCAAGTAACGCTTTGGGATATTTGTTTTAACCTAGTAAATTTCTTAAAAAGTACTGTAAAAGCCTCCTGTCAAATTATGCAAAAGAAGATTTAAAAATGAGAATCATCTAAGTTAAATCTCTCATAAAATAGATTAGTGAAATATAGAACAGATATCCACATACAGCTATATATATATAATTAAAGAAGAAGGAATATAAAAGAGTAAAAACAGCTTTGTGACCAAAATAATAAGAAAAAGACTGCTTTCGTCAGGGGTTTGAAAGAGTCTCTATTTAGTTCTAACAATGTTATTTTTGTTACATGACTGCCCCCCACTTACTTATATCATCTATTTTCGTAGCTGTTCAAAGTCACATTTTTTTTTTTTCAAGGAGTTTGTACTTGTGTGAGAGCTTGCTTTTTATTCTAAAGTGAACTATAAAACGTTTAACCAAGAACCTGGCAACTTTTCTAAGAGCAGCTGGATTCCCACAGCAAACAGTACTGGCAGGCATTTCAGCTAACCTTAAGACTGTCTTACCTCTTTCTTTTATAGATGCCTGAATTTACTGCCCTGCAATCGCCAACTTCCCGCTCCATTGAGACACCCCAGTGGACACCGGGTTGTTGACATCCACAACACCACTGGTTCAAGGCTGGAGCGGGTAATCTCCCTATGAGGAAAAGGTAAGTTTGTTTTTATTCAATGTGGAGCAGATCTCTAAGGTTTTCTGATTTGCAACCTTCTTCATATCCCAGAAGATATAAAATAAGAATACAGTGTAACTTCAATGATCTGAAATGTCTAGTAATAATTACATTATTGACCCATACTTCTTTAAGTACATTACGAACATTTCTGTTTAGCCTAATTTTTGATTACTGTGATAAAGAGAACCCTAAAGCTTTCTGACTTCATTCAGATAATTCAAATAACTGAGGTTACACTGTATTGAAAACCTTAGAGAGTCACCAGTCAAAATGTTAGTCAAAATGCCTGCTAATGTACATGTTCCTGGGTATCCAGCAGCTCTGAGTAATGTTGAAAGGTACTGGTTAAATGAATTATAGTTCTATTCACCTATAGTTCAGGTCATACCTTAATGGTCACTATCCTACTTCAGCCATGATACAACTAATTAGAGAAAGACTAATTGATAAGGATATTTTTTAAAGACTAAGGGACAAGAACATTTAAATTTTAATGAAAATTTTTATCAGACTTGCATTTTCAGGTAACATTTAATCCCTAAAGAAAGAGAGGACCCTTTTCCAAGACATCTACTTTCATTAATTTAATTTTAATTATAGGAACAATCATTTTAAAATACTAAATATATCTACTTAGTTGATAAGAGACTATTTGAAATGGAAGAAAACCAACTTAGTTCCAGCAAGCAATATGGCAGCTATAAGGGTAAAAGGCCATTATAACAGAAGGGATCTGGATGGATTAAACATAACCATGTAAACTGAATGGTTCATAGACAAGACCATGACAGAAATCTGGCTTCAGGAAATGCATAAAAATAATAAACCAAAAAGCATTATTTATGGCATCTGAAGTTGACTGTAATTTATTATGACAGAACTGTTACTACCACATATGAAACTGATATAGAAAATCCTTTTGAAAAAACAAAATAGAAATTTTAGCTGAACTCTAACAGCTGCTTTAGGATTAGCCTTAGAAATAGGCAGAAGAGGTGCTGTGTACATTTTATAACTTGGGTATCTCTGCATTGGGCCTTCTGCTCCCAAATAACAGCACTGATGGTACTGACGACCTATCTTACCAACACTATAAAGCAGTTACTTTGTAAAGCAAATGGCTTCTCCCAACCCTTTAAAATTTTTCCTCAGTAAATTACACATAGGACAGGATGGGGACTAGCAACTGCATTATGGATGATATTGTTTTAACCAAGAGCTCACATCTTGAGATTTGTGAGAGAACAGGAGCCAAACTAGAAGCTTTTGGAAAGGATGGTAAATTGATAGACGATTAATTAAATGGGAGAGTGTCAAAGACAAATTCTGCTCTTGTTTTTTTTTTTTTTTTTTTTTTTTATTTTTTTGACTGCCCTATGCAATGGTAAAATTCTGCTCTTGTTCTCTCTAGCTTTTAAACAAATTTGCCTTAAGATGACCATAGCTATCTAAATTATATTGATTAAAAAAAAATCCATAGGAAGGTGGCTGTCCAATGTCACTGGTACTATGTTCTCTGAGTTTTTGTTTTTTTACCATGTGCCCCAGTCCTCATTTACCTCCCCTGAGTCCAGGCTGCTATGTTTTCTTCCTAGTGAGCTGTTTTTGGTCCTATCTCACACATAAGGTTATCATGAAACTTAATTAGACTGCAAAAATTAATGTGGAAAACCTCAGATGAAGAATGCTGTAGGAAGATAAAGTATTATGACACTGATAGGTAACATTTACCTATATCTTGACACTTACATTCTTGTATTGCTAGTTTTGTTTACTATGACAGACTTCCCACTCTGATCAACATTGTGGTCTAATCCAAAGTAAGCAGCTACTCTATGTAACAGCATCCTATGGTATGATGTCATTGGGGGGAATTTTTTACGTAGAGACCTAGAAGTAGAAGAAAAACCAATTTAGTAAGCCAAGGAGAACTATGATGACAATTTGTTTTCTTGTTAAATGTCAGGACTTACTCATTATTACCAATGAAATCTAAAATTTCTTGTTCCAATTTCAGCAGCATCATTCTGTCCCTGAAACAAAGTATGAAGACTCTTACAACATTGAAGTAATCACAAATGTCAACATGTTATGACTTTAAATGCTAATTTTTTTCCCCTAAAAACTATACATTCAGGACTACCACAAGCTTGATGCTAGAATATTTACATGTTTTTCTATAAAAGTAATGTTTTAAATGAGATAATTTTCAGTTTATGCTTTTATTATGGACATTTTCATGCATACACTAATGTACAGAATAGTGTAATGAACCTTGATGTACTCATCACCCAACTTTAGCAATTATCAACATGTGGCCATTCTTAAATATATAGTATTAGAGTGTGTTCTGTAAATATACAGATAATAAAAGCATATCAGATTTTATTTCCTCGTTTAATAAAGCTGAGAGGTAGCAAGAAAACAGACATCTTTAGTTAAGCTCATGACTTTGTTATGCTGAACTCCATAGAAACAGTACTCTAAAGAACATGCAATGCCAGTTAACAACAGAAATACTCCTATGGGAATCCAATGCTAGTACATTGATGGGACAATAGCAGAAGTATGAACAATATTACTAACTCTAAATTCAGAAAAGGAGGTCTTATCAACTCATTCTGTTAATTGCTATCATATTTTTAAGTCTTTGGGGAAAATTTCTCATAAAAATCAAAGTGACCTAAAGACTTCCAACATAGAAAATAAATAAGGACTCTAAGGAATACTTGCATGTGATCCTTTAGATCACTAGGGTCCTATTTAGTGCACTTAAGCTATAACAAATTAACAGTCCCACTTCCCAAAGGACCTCCTTGCTCACACGCCAAGAACATGGCTCCAGAGTTTTCCCATACTCACTGGAAATTCCACATGTATGTGATAAAAAATACAATTGAGAACCTTAAAGCTAGAAGTAGCTTTATAGATCATTCAGTTTTGTCTTCCAAATTTTATAGATCAAGAAAAAGGGCCAAGAGGTTAATGATTCCTAAAATAAATACCATATAGTACCATACAGAAGATTTTCTAATTTTAATTCAAGAGTTGGTAGCCTCTGAAAGTGTATACATCAGCTCTGAATTTGATCCTCCCTCTGTATTACAAAAGAAGTCTCATAAAACTATGTCATACCTTCCCCCCATTCATTCAACAAATATTTAATCATACATTTTTATATTAGTTAAAAAATCAAGAGAAAAACATGACTACCTGGTGATTTCAAACCGAAAGCTGAAAACAGGATTACATTTTAACATAAATTCTAGCAACATTCAATTATGCCCTCAAATCTGATTCTCCTTTAGCATTCCTTATCAACAAGTGGCATTACTTTCTCCCTAGTATATCATACCAGAACCATGAAAATTTTAGGCTCGTTACCATCCTTTTTCTAATCTTCCTATCTAGTTAATTACTACTACAGATTTGTATCTATATTCTATTTATTTTTCCACTGCTACAACTCTGTACCCAAGCAATCAGGACCTCTGGCTTGATTATGTAACAGCAGTACACTGTCTCCTTTTATCTTTCCCATTCCCTTCTAATCTTACATGGAACATGCATGATAACTTTTTAAGAACACATATATGACCACACATCATTCCCTTGGTTAAATTTGTCACGGGTTTCCCTTAAAACTAAACATTTGTAACATGGCCTACATGACAGGCCTGAGCAGGTCTTCATCCAGCGCTAGCCTCTTCTCCTGACCCTACCTCACAAGGTTCCTATCAGCCTGTCTTATCTCTGTACTTGCTAAGCTCCTTTCTAACTTTCCTTAAACATGCTATTTCCTTTGCCTAAACACTCTCTTATATTATTTATTAGAACCCGTTTCTTTCATACTTTTTAACATTACATGTAATTATCATTACATACTTATTCAGATTATTTGTATATAAAGAGCTCAACAAATATATTGTTCATGGAATAAATTAATAAAATTATTTTATCTAGAAGTTCTTTTAATATTCTCTTTTTTTTCTGTAAATTTTTGGAGAACCTTATGAAGTAACCTTATAAAGAAGAACTTCCCAAAAAAGACTTATTTACTTAACTGTGAAACTCTCTTTCATTTAAGTTTTTGGGGTCAATTTATCTTGAGATACTATTTTTAGTAACTTTTATGATATATTTTCTCATAAATATATACTGCCTTATTTTAAAAAGAGAGACTCTGAGGCAAGCAGCTTATTTGGAGTTCACAAAACAATGCATTTAAAACGATTTTCTGTGTTTGAACTAAACAGCAGGTATAAGATATTTCAAGGGTGGGCAGTGGTTCATGTCTGTAATCCTAGCCCTCTGAGAGGCCAAGGCATGAGAATAGCTTGAGGTCAGGAGTTCAAGACCAGCCTGAGGAAAAGTGAGACACTGTCTCTACCAAAAATTAAAAAAAAAAATTAGCTGGGTATGGTGGTACATGCCTGTAGTCCCAGCTACATGAGAGGCTGAGGCAGGAGGATTGCCTGAGCCCAGGAGTTAGAGGTAGCAATGAACAATGATGACATCATGGCACTCCAGCTCAGGCAACAGAGTAAGACTGTCACACACAAAAAAAGATATCTCAAATGTTCTTCAGTGACTGTGTTGCCATTAAAAAGAAATTTCTACTCTCTTCATGAAAGAAAATAAAATCTAACAATTTTACTACCCATTAGTACAAATTCAGGCTTTTTCCCCCTTACCATGTAAATTTATAGATTACAGAGGATTTTTTTTAATCATTATTAAGCTCTTCTGCTTTTAGTAGAACTTTTAGATAAATAAAAGTGATAACTTTCCTAGGGTCTTAAGATTTACACCTCCGGACTTCCACTTGTGCGTGAGGCGAGCAGAGCTGGAGACAAGACCAGAGGCCGAACTCGGGATCTGACAAGATGGCCGGGCTGCCCTGAAGGATCATCAAGGAAACCCAGCATTTGCCGGCAGAACCCGTTCCTGGCATTAAAGCAGAACCAGATGAGAGCAACGCCCGTTACTTTCATGTGGTCATTGCTGGCCCCCAGGATTCGCCCTTTGAGGGAGGGACTTTGAAACTTGAACTATTCCTTCCAGAAGAATACCCAATGGCAGCTCCTAAAGTATGTTGCATTACCAAAATTTATCATCCTAATGTAGACAAGTTGGGAAGAATCTGTTTAGATATTTTGAAAGATAAATGGTCCCCAGCACTGCAGATCCTCACAGTTCTGCTATCAATCCAAGGCTTTGTTAAGTGCCCCCAATCCAGATGATCCGTTAGCAAATGATGTAGCGGAGTAGTGGAAGACCAATGAAGCCCAAGCCATAGAAACAGCTAGAGCAAGGACTAGGCTATATGCCATGAGTAATGTTTAAATCGATCCGATCATCAAGTGTGCATCACTTCTCCTGTTCTGCCAAGACTTCTTCCTTTTTTGTTTGCATTTAATGGACACAGTCTTAGAAACATTACAGAATAAAAGCCCAGACATCTTCAGTCCTTTGGTGATTAAATGCACATTAGCAAATCTATGTCTTGTCCTGATTCACTGTTGTAAAGCATGAGCAGAGGCTAGAAGTATCATCTGGATTGTTGGGAAACGTTTAAAAGTAGGGGCACCTCTCTGTTTTTATTCATTTCCCCCATCATGGTTTAAGTATAAAGCACTGTGAATGAAGGTAGTTGTCAGGGTTAGCTGCAGGGGTGTGGGTGTTTTTCTTTATTTTATTTTTTTGAGGGGGGAGGTAGTTTTAATTTTATGAGCTCCTTCCCTCCTTTTTATGGTGATCTAATTGCATTGGTTAAAAGCAGCTAACCAGTTCTTTAGAATATGCTCTCTAGCCAAGTCTAACTTTATTTAGACGCTATAGATGGACAAGCTTGATTGTTTGAACCAAAATGGGAACATTAAACAAACATCACAGCCCTCACTAATAACATTGTGATTTTGCTGTCGAGTATAGATTTCCCCCTTCAAAAAAAAAAAAAGCTTGTGACCATTTTGTGTGGCTTGTCTGGAAACTTCTGTAAATCTTATGTTTTAGTAAAATATTTTTTGTTATTCTAAAAAAAAAAAAAAAAAAGATTTACACCTCCTGCCTTTTATGACCTGTAGCTTAGTCTAAGCTTCCAGATTTTCAAATCTGTAACTGAGGACATATTTTGGTAATGGTCATAAGTTAAAAGTTAATAATCCTTTATAGGGGCACTACATATGAGACTCAAACTAATGGGTCTACAAATTACTTTTCTTAATGCAATTTTAAATGTTTAGCATGTGAACAAACACCTAAAAATAGACATACTTATTGAAATTGCTATCGTATAAACTTTAAAATGAACCAATATATGCTATCATTAGAGAGCTAATAAAAACAAGGATTGTCAAGTATGTTGACCAATAAACTTCTACTTAAAGTTAAAAAGAAGTGGCAGGCCAGGCACAGTGTCTCATGCCTGTAATCCTAGCACTCTGGGAGGTTTAGGTGGGAGAATAGCCTAAGGTCAGGAGTTTGAGACCAACCTGAGCAAGAGCAAGACTCTGTCTCTACTAAAAATAGAAAAAAATTAGCCAGCTGTGGTGATGTGTGCCTATAGTCCCAGCTACCCAAGAGGCTGAGACAGGAGGATTGCTTGAGCTCAGGAATTTGAGGTGGCTGTGAGCTAGGCTGATGCTACAACACTAGCTCAGGCAACAGAGTGAGACTATGTAAATAAAAATAAAAATAAATAAAATAAAATACAATACAACAACATAAAATTAAATTAAAAAGTAAAAAGAAGGGGCAACAATCTTTTAGTTACTAGTGTTTTAGTGATTATATCAAAAGTAACTTTAGAGAAAGAGTGTATAGCTGGCATACCAGTGGCAAATAAAAAAGCAGAAGACAATAATGCTTCTATCTGATCACTTTCTACCCAGTGTTTTATATGCCCTTGGTCAAGCCTGTGCAACAGATAATAAATAAAATGACTTAAACATTACTTCCAATAAAAGTGATTTTTAGACGATATTTCAAACAGGACAATTACATGATGTTTCCTAGAGCAAAACAAATTACTTTAAAAATAATCGATTTTCAACTTTAATCTATGGGGTTGTTCCCCTCCATTAGTTACCTAAAATACTTATATGTATTATCCATATTTCTTTTCTGTATATAAAATTTATACAACGTGGCTAAAAAAAATCAACATAAAAATAGGTATACAATTATGTCAGTGAGTGAAATCTCTATCAAGGATATCTTCAGGTTCCTATGTTCTAATTCAGTAATGACTGCAGTTAATAGCGTAGCCTCTGAAAATATTTCTTGCAAACAAAAGTCCAGGTTACGAGTTATTTAACATCGGAAATTAAGTTTGTTCTTATTGGACTAAGAATAAGATAAAGATTTAATGATCTGAAAAAAAAATTTGAAATGAAAATGATCCAGAAAGGAAAGACTGAATAAATTTTAGTAAAAATAAATCTACTTAATGTCTGGTGGAATTCTCTACACAATATTCAATCCCAAAAGCTTTAGTGGGAATTTGTCATACCTCTCACTAATTGTGTGCCATGTATATCTGGCAATTACCTGTGTGCTTCACTGAGAGAATACTGAAATATTTATTAAGCAATCTTTATTTCTCATAAAATTTAACATTAACCTGAACTTCCCAGACCCATAGTGAGATTAGTATTAATACATTAGCCATTATATGAATTAGTCACTTGCATATTTACTCAAATAAAGAAGCATATACACGGAGAAGTAATAATAATATATAGTCTTTTGTGACTGGCTTTTATTCACTTAGCATAATGTTTTCAAGATTCATCCGTACTGTAGCATGTGAATCTTGAAAACATTATTCTAAGTGAATAAAAGCCAGTCACAAAAGACTATATATTACATAATTTCAATCATATAAGATGTCTGGAACAGAGAAATGTACAGAAACGGAAAACAGATTAGGCCTGGGGATAATCTATTATTACTACTACTATTATGATTATTATTATTAGCATAGGGATAGTTAAAAGGTATAGTGTTCTTTTGGGGAGATGAAAAAACTCTAAAACTGACTGTAGGGATAGTTGTACATATATGTGAATATACTAAAACCCATTAAATTATACATTAAATGCCCATGCGTATAGTTTAAAAACTTTTGCATGTGTAAAAGAAAATGTAATTGTACTATTGTGCATTACTTTCTTTTTTTTTATTTTTTTTTCTTAATGGACATATGCATGTGTATACTTTCTACTGAAAAATAATTTACAATGCATATACATGGATTTCTATTTGATAAATAACTTATTTTCCCTTGGGTAGATATCCAGTAGCGGGACTGCTGGGTCGAATGTTAAGACTGTATTTATTTCTTTGAGGAATCTCCATATTGTTTCCCATGCAGGTTGTACTAATTTGCAGCCCCACCAACAGTTTATAAGTTTTCCTTTCTCTCTGCACCCATGTCAGTAACTATTGTTTTTTTACTTGTTAATAATGGCCATTCTGATAGGGGTAAGGTGGTATCTCATTGTGTTTTAATTTGCATTTCCTGGATGATTAGTGAACTCAAATGTTTACTGCAGCACTATTCACAACTGCAAAGATGTAAAAATCAACCTAGGTGCCCATCAATTCATGAGTGGATTAACAAAATGTGCTATATATATATATATATATACTACACACACACACACACACATATACATCATGGAGTACTACTCAGTCATAGAAAGGAATGAAATAATGTCTTTTGCAGCAACTTAGATGGAAGTGGAGGCTGTTATCTTAAGTGAAGTATCTTAGGAATGGAAAAACAAATACCATATGTAAATAACTGGGAGCTAACTGATGGGCACACATGGACACAAAGAGAAATAAAAGTCACTGGAAATTAAGGAAAGAGGGAGAGGTAGGGGTAAAAACTTACCTATCAAGTGTAATGAACACTATTCAATAAAACACTGAATAGTTTCAGGTGATAGGCACACTAAAAACCCAACTTAAGCATTATATTAATAAAAGGTATCCATATAAAACATTTGCACTCCCTTAATATTTTGAAATTAAAAAAGGAAAAAGATAAAGCCTTGTTATGATTACAGTCTTTAAAAGTAAAATCTGATTAATCATTTCTCAAGCTGGAAATGAGAAAGAATAATCACTTTTTAAAATATACATATCTTATTGGAAATCATGCATCAAAGTGATCATTTCTTTAAAAATAAGCAAATATAGGAAAACCAGATCCTTTGAAAAATAAAAAAAAAGAGATTCCTAATCTTTGTCCCTTGCTGATGTCTTTCCTATAGGTTCACAAAGAAGAAAAACTCTGCCTTTCGAGGTTTCTATTTTGTTTTACTCACACTAGCTATGTATTTCCTGCCTTTCCACTTACTCCTCAACCGGTTGAGTTCTGATATCCACCATTCAACCCCAAATGAAATGACTTCTTCAAATAGTCAACAACTTCCTAATTTCCAAATCTAATTGTTTTTGGTACTTCTGTTTTCATCTCCCTTTGTTATTTTATTTTCCATGAAGCACTTACCCTTTGGTTGACTTCTAGGACAAGTGTTCTCATGATTCTTCTGCTATCTTTAGGACTCAAGTCTTTCCCTTCTCATCTACCTTACAAATTTGTCTCTCCACAGTTTTGTCCTTGTCATTTATTTCATTTCTGGGCAATCCCTTCCATAGCAAGCTTCATCTCTACTGATCAATGTGTAACTCCAGCCTGGTTTATTCACTTGAAAACTAGAGCCTTTTAACTGACCACAGACCCCATCTCCTGGCTCCCTGTTTGGTATACTCCATTCCATTCATGATTGCCCCTTACTTACTTTCTCAGTTATGGGGACTAGCTGCCTGTCCAGCTAGAAACATAGTGGCCATTCTATTCTACCCTACTGTACTCATTACTCATTACCTTTCCACATATAAATGCTCATCAAGTCCCATTGTGGTATATCCTAAATATCCTTCAAATGTGTCCTTTCCCCTCTATTGTTTTCTATGGTCTCCTAACCACTCTTTTAGCTTACAGTCTCCTCTGCCAAAATAATCTTCCTAAAATGCCAAAGTAATCTTTCTACAACACAAATCTGACTGTGGTAATTACTCCTTAACTCAGTATGCCATTCTCAGTATTTCTCAACTGGTACAACATTGGCATTCCAAGTAAGACAAGTTTTCATTGTTTATTGCTGCCTTCCTTTTTTTTTTTTTTTTTTTAAGCATCCCTAGCTTCACAGTTGCACTCTACACTCTTTGGGACAACAGAAAGGTACCAGCACATTCCCCCACTGCCTCAGGGTGTCCTCAATACAACTGGATATGATCTATGCTTTATACCTCACCAATACCTTCCCTATCACTTTCCAAAATCACTTGCCACATGCCTCCTTGCAAGAGCCAGAGGATACAATTTTGTCTTCCCTTTGATACACCATTTCCCCTCTCACACTACTCTGTCTTGGCAATGCTCTTGTTTCTATATGGAATGCCCTTCCCATGTTTCTGTATGGACAGCTCCCGTTTAAAGTACTCCGAATTCAAGCCTCAGCTCAGATACTACCTTTTCAGTGAAACCTTCCCAAATCCTTTCAAACAGAGGTTGGGGTTCCCCTCTTTGGCTTTTGGATAGACCTGTTTTACAACATCTGTTCTAACTTTAATTTTTTTTGTTGTTTTTATTTGAGACAGGGTCTCACTTTGTTGCCCAGGCTAGAGTGAGTGTTGTGGCGTCAGCCTAGCTCACAGCAACCTCAAATTCCTGGGCTCAAGTAATCCTCCTGCCTCAGCCTCCCGAGTAGCTGGGACTACAGACATGCGCCACCATGCCCGGCTAATTATTTCTATATATATTAGTTGGCCAATTAATTTCTTTCTATTTATAGTAGAGACGGGGTCTTGCTCTTGCTCAGGCTGGTTTTGAACTCCTGAACTCCAGCAATCCGCCCGCCTCAGCCTCCCAGAGAGCTAGGATTACAGGCGTGAGCCACTGCGCCCAGCTCTAACTTTAATTACTTATCATGTCTTTTTCTAGCACAGAGATGGTGAATATTTCATTCAGCATCACCGATTATGTCTTGTTCATCTTTATATCTAGAATGCTTGGCACATGGTTAGGCACTCAATAAATGCCTGTTCAATGAACTAATGAATTCACCTGTCTGCTGGGGCTACTGAGGAATAAACTTGAAGTGGAAAAAAAAAGGTCATGCAGAGTTGCCTATCTTCCCTCTTACTCTGTAACTGTAATCCTTTAATTCCTATTACAAGGAGACCACTTTTCATTTTGGTGGTTCTCCCTTTGGGGTTTATATTACGTGCAAAACAGAAAATCAAGATGGTATTGAATACAATAAATCCTGAATGAAAATGAAGGTTATCCTGAAGCAAGACTGGACATGAAATAAGCCTCAGTGAGACTGAAGAGAATTGTTCATGTTATCTTCCATATGCACATACCTAGTGACATTATTTTCTTTTTATTTCAAAGTATGTCAAATAACCACCACTTTGGAAAGCTAATATCTAGAAAAGGAGTTCTTAAATTAACCTGGTGTGTTTTACCCTATGAAAGTATTGCTCAGATATTCTGTGGATAGCCGTTTTGTAGGGAGAATGCCTCAAAGTGGTTGATTGCTTGCCAAAAAGTCATCAAACTAAACTACTCATTTAGTATGTAGGCAAAACAAAGGATTTCACAATTAAACTACTAACTGAAATAAGCACCTTAACAATTTCTGCATTTAAGATTTATATTATAAACTAGCAAAAAGGAACAAAAATTCTGCATTTAACTCAGTTCAAAATCTCAATCTGAATATACTAACTTCTTAATTGGTTGAGCATATTATGGTAAGATATTTTTCTTTCTTTTCACAATTAATGGTATCTCTCTCTCTCTCTCAATTAAAAGCCTAAATATCACAGTGATTCGCTACTTCCCGAAATTCCTACAGAGAGTATGAATTATTTTTACATCACAGTGACATGCATAATGCAAAAAGATATTTATACGTGTGCATATAGTAGACCAGTATCTTAGCCCTAAGAAACTAAAATGTTTCTGGTGTACTTCAAATCTTTGCAATCTTATTCTAATACTCTAACTCAATAATGAAAACATATATAGCAAAATTATGTTACTCTAGAAGCAATGTAAACCTTATAAATTTAATTTTTACCTGGGATTGTTTTTTAATGTATTTACTAAAAATTCATGTAGATCTATGCCAGTTGAATCAGTGTATTCTTGACTGGAATCTAAAAAACAACAACACAAAAACCCAGTATAAAGTTGTTTGAAAACAAATCCCTTTCCCTTTTACACATGATATCTTAAATAAAACGAGATGTCCCACATTGAAAAAAACTGACAAAGTAGGAAAAGGCAATTTATGATGAGTCCAGATGATCACATTTTTTCTACTCTCCTATAATGTGCGTGAATTTATATAACTGTATGTCCATGTACATTCTTTAAAAAAAAATTAATCTCTCACATGTGTTAGTTTAATTTACTCTAAATTCTTTAAAGATCCTTTCATATACTTACCACATCCTTATGGTCAAAAATGCCTCCTTAGGTGAAACATTCAAATGATTTAGATAATTAACTATATTTGTAGCAATTTAGGACAGCTTAGTTCATTTATGAATATAAGTGGAAGCAATTTGGAGGTAGACAGGAATTTTAGCTCTGAAAGAATAATTTACTTAGATTTTTATCAGGTCTGTTACTAAAGACTTGCTTTCAAAATATTTTTCAAATATTCATGCTTATTTCTTCCCCTTAAATGCAATATCCTTAGCTGTTTACAACACTGATCAACATAACTGGGTTTATAAACTTAAAAAGCATTTGTATTGACCTGCAACACTAGATAATGGTGAAGACCCTCCAAACTTACTGTGAAAAATAAACATTCTAGGTTTCCAAGAATCTTCTTATTGGATACTGAATATTATAGTATCAGCTCTTTGTATCATAAAGAATTAAAGGTTACTATTGGCCGGGCGTGGTGGCTCACGCCTGTAATCCTAGCACTCTGGGAGGCCAAGATGAGTGGATTGCTAGAGGTCAGGAGTTTGAAACCAGCCTGAGCAAGAGCGAGACCCTGTCTCTACTATAAACAGAAACATATTAATTGGCCAACTAAAAAATATATAGAAAAAAATTAGCCGGGCATGGTGGCACATGCCTGTAGTTCCAGCTACTCGGGAGGCTGCGACAGAAGGATCACTGGAGCCCAGGAGTTTGAGGTTGCTGTGAGCTGGGCTGATGCCACGGTACTCTAGCTTGGGCAAGAGAAGTGAGACTGTCTCAAAAAAAAAAAAAAAAAAAAAAAGTTTAAAAAAGATTAAAAAAAAGAAAAAAATTACCTGTTGACTGGATGGGCATTATAAGAAAAAAAAGTATTAAATTAAATTAAAAACATTATATTTAATAATGGTTACTATTTTTCCTCATTTATACAGTAATGAGTAAAAAAGGAAAAAATATTTTAAAAAGTAATATTTTCAGTGGAATCAATATACAAATTATGATTCCAATATTTTAATAAGAGAGACAGACCAGTAAGAGATTAAGATGTTTATCTAAGCCAGGCACAGTGGTACATGCCTATAGTTCCAGCTAATTGGAAGGCTGAGGCAGAAGGATTTCTCGAGCCCAGGAATTCAAATCCAGACTGGGCAACATAGTGAGAGCCTGTCTTTAAAAAATTAAAAACAAACAAAACAAAAAACCCCAAAATAAGACATTTATCTTCCTCAGTGACTCTGGTATATGTTACAATTTTTGGTTGAAGCATCTTATTGATTGATGTACAGAACTATTATACCATTTTATCCAGATGAATAAATATGATATCATCCCTCCATTCTGTTCTGTGTCATTTTTAATATAGATACACTATACATAATTATTTGAGGAGTAAAGAATGCAATTACTGAAAGTAAAATTTTGTTTAAGAATACAAAAATAAATTGCATACCTCTTGATAACATTTTTCTGGGCAACTTATCACTGGCTTTTTCTTTTTCCGCTTCATCTTTTGAGGGCTTCTCCTCTTTTTCAAATGATTGTGTTAATGGGATCTGAATTTTCTCCTGTTGGAAGGCAAAATAAGTTATTCAATGAAAACATAAAACAACTCATTTAATACCACACATTTAGATTTTTTGAGTATTACAAAATTGTACAGAGGAAAAAAAAAAGGAAAAAGATATTTATTTTATCCAATTAGATTCTCCAAAACTAGAAAACTACATAAAATATTTTACCATTTTTATCAAAGTCTTGATTTAAAATGTAAAATTAATGTTTTTTATAATAGTTTAAGTGCTACTACTTGTAAAACTCCTGGAGGGTCAGAACTGAGGTCTTCTTAAACCTATTTTTGTAATGGAGATGTCAAGTAAAACCATGATAATTACCATCAATCATGACACAAGGAACATATGAGCATCAAGTCAATGATTAATAAGAATTACGTTTTTGAGTAGCCATTATAATTGCATATTCCTTAATTCTCTTCCCATGTAAAAATGTTAAGTACAAACATTTCCAAAACCAACTGTACATGACTTATTTGAGATTTAAATTTGACTTTCCTTTTTCAGTCACCACAAAGTTGTTTTAGAGAGATTTCAAACAAGACTGTATGTTACAGATACATAATGTTTAACCATAAAGTAACAATATTCTATAAGACTGAAATGGAAAACAAACTCCACATTTGATTTGAAAAACAGTATCATTACATGCAATTTCAGAACCCAAGGGAATTACTGGAAATTAATTCATATAGTCTGAAAAGGTAAAAATTATGTAGCTCTGCCTACTCAGGCAAAGTTATAAGAAAGTTGTAATAAATTCCAGATCATTTTTACCAAAAATAAAGGTGTAGCCTATTTTAGACTAAGTTATATTATTTTTTGGGGGGGATAAAAGACATCAATCAAATTATTACTTGGCTTTTCTGGGTGGTAGTGGTGGTGGTAGGGGCATTAAGTCAGTATCAATGGGATATAAATTTTAGTATTCTCAAATTTGCAGCCAGCTGGATTTCTATTAAGCTTCTTTTCTTCCCCGCATAAATTTTTCAAAATAATCTTCAGCAAAATTTTGATCAAATGATTTTTTACTCCAATAAGACTGCTACCTGCTATTTCTATCTCTTTCCAATTTTTGCAATTCACATCAGTTCAAATTTGTGCTCACAACATAGGGCAAATGCAATGCACTGGAAATTTTCACCAGGATGATGAACATTTGCTTTACGCTGTCTTGCTTACCAAAGACACCAGGAACTTCATTACATTCATCAACCAGTATAAGTCATTTCTCTAAATGTAATTCATTTCCAACTCATTTTCCTTATTCTTTTCATAATTGTAAAACAGATACATAGAAATGAATCTCAGAACTATTTTTCAGAAGTTCAGAGTATTTAACAAATTTTCCTGACTTGTAGCTTCTATTCTTGCTACTCAAACATAACCCAATGGAATCCAGGTTGGGAGAAAAGATTTCACCCTACTTAGATCTTCACTAATGAGCACTTTCAATGACTAGCAAATCTCATTTCTAAGTTCTCCTCCTAAAGCCATATATTTTAATGATAAATATTAAACTGTAATTTAAAAATCTAGTAGGCTTAATATACTGAGGCTGTATCTTCAGTTGGCTCTGTTTTCAGCAATCAACAAGACATATTTTAAACACTGAAGTTCTTATACACAAACTCTTCTAACTATAAATAACTGGAATAATATCTACCTCTCCACAGGAAGCTGCAATTCCCTTTACTCTTCACTCTGTCATTGACATCAGTTATTGAGGCCACTTCCCTCTCATAAGCTCTTAGATACAAGTGACATCTCTCTTTTAATTGCCTCTCAACCTTTTGAATAATGAGTTTTATTCCAGATTAATTCTTCAAAATCACATTCTGAATCAAGTAAATCAGCTAGAAAGTGTCTTTACCATCAAGGATTAGATACTAGCACATTTCATGAGAAATAATTTATTTTCCAATTCCCACTCAGGTCCAATTTAGTTAATGCAAGGCTTAGAAAAAGACTTTCTACTAAAAGAAGTATCTTTTATTCACAGAGTTTTACTCATAGGTTATTATCTAAAAAGAAAAAATTATTGTATCCAAGATAAACCAAAAAAGAATGCATTAAGTGGAATAACAATTCTGATGTAGCTCCCTTATTCCATTATCCGTAACTTATCTTTCTGAATTGTAAACACGAAAAAATTATCTACGATCAATAATGTATATATTAATATGTAACATATTCCTGATGTTATTCTTTTGCTCATATAAACTTCCACTAGCCAAATTTATGTAGTACCATAAGAATTTTTATGTAGTACCATAGGAATTTATATATTTGAAAAATATATACATTTTGGTAAATATATACATTTGGTAAATATATACATTTTTCAAATAAGGTAAAATGCACTGAAAAAAACAAAGATGATGTTACGGTTTTTCTCAAAAAGTATGCATTTTCTCTGCATCAACAGACTTATAAATGACTGACCTTTTTTCTCATTTCCTCAATCTCCTTTGACTGCTATGCCATGAGACTAAGATGATGTAACATTTTGGTCAACAGGACAAAGAAATGAATATTCAAAAAACACTGCACTGCCTACTGCTCCGCTCTGAACAGGTATACTATTAACTTTGACTTGAACAAAAGCCCTTTTTAAAACTGCTATTTCAAAAAACAATTTTACCAATTTTTTCCACAGTGTATCATAACTCTTCAGCCTTATCAACAACCACATAAAAGCCAAAGGTTAATATTTGTAAATGTTCCCCAAGTAACAACACATAGTATTAAAATATTTTGACTGTATTTCTACTTTCACTAGTCGATTTTATTATTAAAAAATGTATCTATTTTATTGAATACATATAGCTATCTCTCACGTAGCTACATTAAAAAATCACAAATGAATTTTGATCATTATATTTCTGACACAGAAAATATCTAAGGAAACAGATTTTTAAGTACTTTTCATTGACAACAAATAATCTATTTGAAAGCCTTCTTTTCCCTGCATTTTTGGATACAAAAAGTATAGAGTGCTTTTTAAAAACAGGATGTACTCTAAATATGTGACAACTATCCTTAGATTTTATGATAGGCTTTTGAGGGCATCATCTAAAGCAAGAAGTACAACAGTTTTTGCCTGAATCATCAAATGTATACTTGGTATTTATTTTCAAGAAAAAAATGTACATGTCATGACTTTTTCTAAAATCAGTCACAGCTTCTTAAAATAACCACAAAGTTGTCTCAATTCCTTGGAAACTGATTGTTTGGATATGAGGGCATTTTAAATTGTTCAAACTCTTATTAAGTAAAACAAATCACTAAGAGCCAAAGTTATCATACTGGTAAACATTGGTAAAGGGCTTAAATATAATTATGCATAAATGTTCAAATGTAACATGAGACAAAGATCAATCCATAGCTGAGATTAAAAGAAAGTAAAGCTACAGCATCATAAAAAATATAAGAGGCAAAATTATTTGCTCCAACCTCATTGTTCTAAGACAGAAGAGAAATTAGAAATATTAGACAACTATGAAGGATCCAAGCTAATATGAAAACTGGATTCACCATGCATTCAGGTTAAGTATAATAACCTATCAAGCATCTTGGAGAGTTTCTTTATACACAAGCACTAAGTACTTCACAAATTTCTAAAAATCAAAACTAAAAGGACAAATTTCATCCAATTCTATTCAATGGAAGTACTACTTTAATATTTTGTAACTTTTCAATAATAACTGTCTTAAAGCCACATTCTCAGTTAATTATATGATCCCTAAGTTTTTCCACAAGAGAAATCATTGCTGTAAATCTCAGACTGAAACAAAGAGTTTTCCCAACTTTTTATCTGTATCTTTGGGTGGCAAGTATTATCAAATCAGTTTTACTTAGTAAAAATAAAACACACAACCATAACTTATACACACAACTTTTATTTCACCATATGCAAAAATATTCTCCAGTTCCACCATGTCTTCAAATAATGATTTTTATTTATTTATGTATTTTTTACCTGGTTCTCCTGTGATATCTCTGCAGCAGGGGGTGGTGGAGATTCTTCACATACTGCAAGGCTCCGAACTAGCTTTAACTTTGAGCTCGACTAAAGAGAAGTATTTAAAATTAACACTATATTTCACAAATCTAGGGCATATCCAAAAGCCCCCTAGAAAGAGATTTTTAAGTTTCTTTAAAAATAGTTTCTGCCATGTATAAAAGTAGATGAAATGTGCAAGTTAAATATATCATTAAACACCACCAAAACCCTTTGTTAAGAGGGGAAACAAACAATTGCAGTTTTGAAAATTATAGCAAAAGCAAGAATGGGAATAATTCCAACTTCAAAACCCAAAGCATGGTGAGAAAGCAATTTTCTCTACAAAGAGCCATCAAAGATAAAAAAGCAATGCACAAAAGCGACTAGGCAAGACAAAAACCCCAAAGAAAACAAAATAAGCTTTCTGCCCCAAACAAAATATGAAAAAACTAAACTGGATGTAGTGCTATATGAAAATAAGGATTCGTCAAGCATGAAGGAAGGCCCTTGGCATGCCAGCACACCAAAATATTTACTATACCTTAGACCTTTTTCCTGTCTGTCCAAATGACTGCAATGGCCGCTGAACATATAACAAGAAAGATTTGTATTAAATTTCATACTGAAACAGAAAATTTGCTTCTTAATTCACAAACCTAAACCACAGAAAAACTGAGTATAAAGAACGGAAAATGAGGAAATCAGAGTTGGTTTCAGTAAAAGAGCATTGATTCCTCCCAGAAGCACACTTGCAGAAGATTCTCTAAAATCCTTCTGTGGGTTGGCATTTTAAGTCAGCAAATGGCCACAATTTCTGGATTAACTGAGCTCAATGGAACTCATAAGGTGACTTCCTCATAGCAAAATAAAATACTTTTTTCAGTATTTTATAGCATATTACACTTCAGCCAAGGTTAGGGGAAACACACACACACACACACACACACAAACCCTTAACAATTTAAAGTAGCTGAGCTCAGAAAAGTTCCAAACTTAATAAGGAAAATGTTTCAAAGGCATAGCAAGTCAGAGTCCAACCACCTATCTCCTAAGCCTTTTCAACAATGTATGAAGTACATCTGTTTACTAGTGAAAGAAACCTATTCACCAGGTCTGGGGAGAAACAATAAGGCAGAAAAGAGGGCAGACTTCCAATATGAATCTTCAGCATGATTGACAGATCATCAGTCACATGACTGGGGAACACATGAGGCACGAGGCAATTAGCTCTGGTTTGTGATATCAGGCTTTGGGGAAAACCAGCTGAAGCACCTGTGAATCAGGGCCAGATAGGTTTTTAAATACTCTTTCCTCTCACTTCCTTCCAATGTACTTCTCCAACCCAAACTCAAATACTACAGGGTGCAGGTATCTGTCATTTTTACTCATTAACACAAGGAAGCTAGTCTGGTACCAAACATAAAACAGAGTCCAAAGTCCTTAATGCCAAGACTAATATATTTCACATTAAAAAAAAAAAAAAAGGCCATTTCATTCTAACATCCAAAAAAGTTTTCCTTATAGAGCCGACAGAAAAGAGTACACGGTACCAGTATGTTCTGCCCCCATTTTGAATCCAACATTCGTCAAAGATAAGAGACATTGTATTCTTGGGATTTTTAACCCTGGATTACACAAACTACAAATCAACAACAAAAAGAAAATAGAAAAAAATGAAGAAAAATGATTTTCCGTTTCTTATGAAGAAACTGGTATGTGCGTGTGCACATGAGCAAACAACAGTGCTGCCTAAGAGGGCTTCCATATGTTGTACTGTCTTGTGTTTCTACTTTCTCTCTTCTTTAATTTGCTCAATAGGATTTCTAATTATCTGTAACTCACATCCAAAAACAGAAGTAAAACAAGTTATGCTACCATCAAGTAACGGCTTACAGGAAAAAAAAAGAGGGAGAAAAGCAATGAAAATACTAGCAAATAGAAATAAAAATACTAGCAAATAGAAATACTAGCAAATGGAAATAACTAAAAGAGTTCTGAGGAATCCGAAGGGAAAAGAATTTGATTTACTTCCATCCCCTGCTTTAATCCCTTGCAATTCTAAGTATTAATAGTATAAAACCTTCCATTAAAAGTCTTTAAAATAAAAGTGATGATTAACTGGCAAAGTAAATGCTGTATTCATACGTAGAAAAGTTGAACTAGCTTTGCTTATTAGTAGGTGACCAGGTCAAATTATTTCAGTTTACTTTTATCTGTATAAAGTTCATAATATTTGTACTAATTCACACAGTTGGTGAAAAGATTCAGTGAAAAGGTAGATAAAAAGGGACTTTGTAAATCCTAAAGCACTATATAAATGCAATAGATTGTTAAAGGTTAGGAACTAAGCATGTCCAAAAAGCAATCCTAACTGCTGCGTACTAGCCATAAGATTAAATTACTTAATATATCAGATGCTAATTTTTTAATCTATAAAATGGTAATGCCATATATTGTCCCTACAGTAATAGTTTAGAATATTCATAGATGTATACATGCATTAACTATCTCAGTTTTTTTTTATTTCAGCATATTATGGGGGTACAAATGTTAAGCTTATGTATATTGCCCTTGCCCTCCCTCCCCCCTACTACCTTACTATCTGAGTTTAATTTACAAGGAGCTTTTGATAAAGATGAAGAAAGACACAGAGAGGTAAAATTATCTTAATTCAACTTCATTTAACTAATAAGTTCTGGGTTCCTGCTACACACGTGACACTGTGCCACACAATGGGGCTATGAAGATGAATAAGACACAGTTCCTGTTCTTAAGGACCTCACAGTCCAGGATCACAGTTATTACATGACCAAGCAGAACTCGAGATCTTCAGAATCTTAGTCTAGTACATTTTACATTACACTCATAGAAAACCTTTCTGTGCCAGGCATGATACCCCACAACGGTAATCTCAGTGACTTGGGATGCTTAAGCAGGAAGATCACTTGAGCCCAGGAGTTCTAGGATGCACTGAGCTATGATCACAACACTGTATACCCCAGCCTGGGTGACAAAGCGAGCTTCCCTCTCTAAAAAAACCAAAACAAAAAACCCCTTTTTATTTTGGATTAAATACTACTTGTGGTAGACAGAATTCTAAAGATGGCTCCCAAGATTCCCATCCTCTGGTTATTTAATCAGACACTAATCTAGGTACTGCCTAAGCCCCAAATCAGTTGATCTTAACATAAAGACTTAAGACTAGCCGGGCGTGGTGGCTCACGCCTGTAATCCTAGCACTTTGGGAGGCCGAGGCGGATTGCTCAAGGTCAGGAGTTCGAAACCAGCCTGAGCAAGACCCCGTCTCTACCAAAAATAGAAATAAATTAATTGACCAACTAAAAATATATATATAAAAAAAAAAAATTAGCCGGGCATGGTGGTGCATGCCTGTAGTCCCAGCTACTCGGGAGGCTGAGGCAGTAGGATCGCTGAGCCCCGGAGATTGAGGTTGCTGTGAGCCAGGCTGACGCCACGGCACTCACTCTAGCCTGGGCAACAAAGTGAGACTCTGTCTCAAAAAAAAACCAAAAAAAACAAACAAACAAACAAAAAAACTTAAGACTGAGGTGAGTCTGACCCAATCAAGTGAGCTCTATAAAAGCTGAGCGGTTTCTCTGGCTAGAAGCTAAAGGGCAAGTTAGATTCAAAGTGTGAGAAGAACTTGACCCATCATTGTTGGCCTTACAGATGGAGGGGTCATATTTAGAGGAGGACTATGGGTAGCTTCTAGGAGCACAGTGGCCTTGGCTGACAGCCAGTCAGGAAACATGGACCTCAGACCTACAGCTGCAAGGAACTGAGGTTTGCCAAAAACTAGAATAAGCCTTGAAGCAAATTCTTTCCCAGAGTCTTTGGAAAGGGGCCCCAGCCGGGCTGACACCTTTGATTTTGGCCCTATAAAACCTAAAGCAGAGAACTCAGTTGTACCCACTGGGAGCTGATAAATGGGTGTTATTTTAAGTCTCTAAGTTTGTGGTAATTTTTATGCCACAATAGAAAAATAGAATACACTAGAATATAGAAAAGTAATAGAAAAATAATACACTACATAAGTAAACTATAAATTGCCAGAGTGGCATCATTATTATTTCCTTTATTTCATAATTTTGTTATCTATATGGCAGCCATATTTGGCTTTAAGTGGAATTCTATTTGATATAATTATTTTAAAAATAGGTTTTATTATTTACAGCACACTTTTCACCCTAAGCAGAATTTCATTGTCACAGAAAAAGTTTAGCAGCTTGTTTAACAGACCTTTACTAGTCCTGAGAGATGTTAATTAAATTAGAATTTAGAAGGCTTAGGAACAAAGTTCCCAATTTATATTGTTTTATACTGATATACAGGACAGGAACTAGGTCAAAAAATGGGTGCAGAATATAAAACATCCTTAATAGAATTTCAGTTTGAAACTAGTATTAATACATTGTCAGAGCTACCAGCTACACAATTTTGGGAAAAAACTAAAAAAGAACTGAACAATCTGTGTGAGCTATATATGTGTTAGCATAAAAATAACCAATCAACTATTACTGAAGAGGAAATCTGACTTATTTTTTAAAAAAGGGATTATTTTTATTTGTAATTAATAATTATTATGAAGAAAATAAATTGTAGTGACTGAAATCTTTCAACTAAGATTCAAGCTTACTAATTCTCAGTACTTCTCTAGGTAACAGTAAGGATTAATGGTAATTACGTGGAAGAAGATAATGAATTAACTTGTTCAATATCTAGCTTAAGGTCAGGGCAGTAAAAATAACAGATGCCAAGCTGCTAATTTCTAATGAAATAATAGAAAATAATATTTTCTGAGTTGGGAGAATTGACTTTTAAAAAATCAAACCAACAAACTAAACACAAATCACCAATTTGTTTTTATCATTTAACCCTCTAGGCCATAAAGCACAGACTTAAACATCCAAAGGCCTGCCTCTCAGACCCTGAAGACAAGTCCCTGGAGAAAGTCAGACTATCTGCTTTACAGTTATTCCCTATATTAAGTGAAGATAAAGGATCTCCCCATTCTACTGGTGATATATACATGAAAATCATCCAAGGAAGTAAAAATAGTATGTAAAAGCATTTCTGTATCTATAAGATGTGGCAAACATCTTTATACATGTCATAGTAAAGTACCACAAAAAGAAAACATGCTTACAAGTGCCATCATATGTGCATATAATCAAAGTTCAAAAGACACCAAATCCTAGAAATAATTTTATATTATTTTTTAATTTTTCTTTTTTGAAACAAGTTCAAAAAGTAAAGAAGTAATTTTAAAAAGTAAAGTGTACTATGGGAAGTGAAACTTAAATTTTAAAAAGTTGAACTCATTAAATATTATAAAAGTACAGCATACAGGATAGAGACTAGACAGAAACAAAAACTATTGCACTGAAATTATGGGAGCTTATGTCAAGAAAAAAGTTTTACTTTTTATTTTGTTACTAAAGAAAAAAACTATTTTGCATGACAATAAATGGACAAATTTGAGAAGCCATATAGTTGTGCTATTGTTAATAGTTACAATTATGATGATTGTAATACTATTTATAGCACGTACCATTTGTTAGGTACTATGTGCATTACCTACACTCTTTTTATCTTTGTTTGACAAATAGGAAAACAGTCAAGATTATGACTTGAATGATTTTATATACAGAGACTTTTACTCAATTCTTCATTATTTTTTTGCAACAGAGTCTTGCTCTGTTACCCTGGTTAGGGTATAAGTGGCATCATCCTAGCTCACTGCCACCTCCAACTTCTAGGCTCAAGCAATTCTCCTGCCTCAGCCATCTAAGTATCTAAGTAGCTGGGATTACAGGTGTGCACCACGATGCCCAGATAATTTTTCTATTTTTAGTAGAGATAGGGTTTTGCTCTTGCTCAGGCTGGTCTCAAACTCCCGACCTCAACTGATGCTCCCGCCTTGGATTTCCAGAGTGCTAGGATTACAGACATAAGCCATTGTGTCAGCCTATTCAATCCTTTAAAAAGAAACTTCTTTGCATGTTTCATCAATTAAAGAATTTGTTGCCCACTGCCTTCATTATTGAATTAGTGTGACTTTGTGCCTTGAGCTTTTCTGACAGCCTTATTAGATTGCCATTGTTTTCTTGTCCCTTACTTTGTCCCCATCCCCTATTAAAGAAATGCATTGGAACTAAATTGGGAGATATAAGATGAAAGATTCTCAACTTGATCAACAAAGAGCTTACTACAGAAAGAGAATATATCCACATGGAAGCATTAGGAGAAAAAAGAAAAAATAAAATTATAAAAAAAAAAGAAAGAGAATATATTAAATACATAAAAAAAAAGAAAGAGAATATATTAAATACATATTACACTTTAACTGATTGTATGTGTGGAAAATTCACTCATATATATCAGAAGTTATTCATACACTCTGCCCCACAAGACCAAGTTGTTAAACAAAAATCAGCTCTCTTATTTCCTCCACAACAAGGGTTACCAACACAATCTGGATTGGCCACCCTATTGTTAACAAAGGTTTAAGGCATTTGTTCCAAAATATGTTTTCAATTATACATATATATATATATATATATGTATATATATATATGCATACAGATGAATACCCCTGGACAAAGCATTTGCCAAGTATAAAGATATAATTGTAAAAGAATGGAAAATTTGAATTTGAGCCTTTAATAAGTAAAGAGAGCACAGGACACTTAATAAATGACTGGAAAAATCAACACAAATAATTTACCCTGAATTTAATCTGAAAAATCTATCTATGAAAAAAAAAAATCAAACAATAGAAGCTACATAAGTTGAGTTACACACATGAAATCAAAGCAAACAACACTCTCAAACCCATTTTAAAGATAAGAGAGACTAGTAGTCTAACAAAATACATTTTTCTGGATTTAAAAACTTGACACCCACCACCCCAACTTTCCAAATATTTCATAATCACATAAAGTCCAAAATATACCTCCAGATTCTCAACAGGAACAGTGTGTGGCCATAGAAAAATTACTAATGCACACAGATTTCTTGAATCAGCTCTGAATTATTAGTATTAGGAAATTCTTAAGAAATCCTAAAACTTCTATAAGATTATAGTTCAAAACAAAAATCTTGAATAAAAAATACAGGTAACCTTTTTTAAAAGTAGAAAGAGTGCCACACAACCAGCATTATTTACAAAAGAAAAAGAAATGGCAAAGGAACTCTTTGAGAAAATCTCTGCGTGGAACCAGAGATTTTCTAATGTCTGCTGGCCTCCCTCACTGGGTTTGATGAAATCATTTTTTTATGTAAATATTATCCTTAACAGATAGTATATAAAATCATAAGGTTTCTTTACAGTATTAAAGAGGCTATGACATCTCATTTAGAAATGACTTTTTTACTCATCAAATTATATATGTTAAATATACATTCCTGTGAACACATTGGGGCAAAAAAATATGTAGTTTTTTGTATAAATGGATGAAATGTATGCTTCTTTTGGAAGGTAAACATTTCCCTTTTCCTAACTCACTTTAAATATGACTATATTGCAACACAACAGACATAAAATATTCATGGTAGCTGATTTTCAGAATGAGAGATGAAAGCAGAGAATATCTTATTACTCTATAAAATAAAATAAAAGTTAGTTTACTCAAAATTCTCAACATTGTTTGTTACATACATCAAATTTAGGAGTAAAAATAATAGTTGCTATTTAAGATGACAACCGTTAGGCAGTATCTTAAAGGTAGCAAAGGAAGACGAAATGTCTAGTAGTATGCTATAACAGGCAACTCTGTATTAAGTTAAAAAGTAACTCTGGATTAACTAGGCACATTTAAACAAAACACTCTATTCCCTGTATATGCTTAAAACAGTTAACTTTGTGTTACGTGAAAACATAGAAAATATTATTTTTCAGTTTTATCTACTTCAAATTCCCAATTTCCATTACTTAAACCTCTTCTGTACAAGTTATTTTCACTGTATGCCCCTTGCCAGGCACCTTGGATCTCAAAAGCTCAAAGCAGAGCCAATATTTTTACATATAGTAAATTCTTAATAAACATTTGAAAAACCAATGATTGTAGCACTCAATGGATTAACATAAAATGAATTCTCATATTCTCTTTTTCCTCCTCCCAATCTTTATAGTCACCATACTAATATATGGAACAAGAGGTCAAAGACCAGACCTATTTTTGTTTACTATGGTATTTCCTTGACAAAGAATAAGCTTTCAATATATATTCAGGTAACATATGAAATTTTCCTATAGTATTAACTGGGCCATGACATGACAGTGGTCATGAGAATGTTCTTGTGCTTATTGCCAAGGTTAACACAACAGATATGGTAAGAAATGCAATAATCCAAGTTAATCATTTGTTGATAAGCATGACCTGGGAGAATGAACATTAGGTGTAGAAAAGAGGCTAAAATGAAATCTTTTATTATTTCAATGACAAATGCAATAGAATGCTAGCTGATTTCGTCTGATGCAATCAGGATGTTGGCACGCTGCCATCACCGAGTGTACTGATTACAGGCATGGCAATTTTTTGTTGTTTTAAAAAGTGCTATTACTAAAAATGACTAGGAAAATATATGTTATTCCTCCCAATTTCTTAGATAATTACCACTAGACTATACTCAATCAGTGAGGCTTACATGCTTTTTTATAGCTATAGGAATTGCTATCATTGCCTAACATAGTGTCTGACACATTACAGGGAATAAACAAAGTTTCTGACTAAATGAGGAATGAGATAACCTTTAAAAGAGCTTTCTTTACTTATCATAGAAAAGTGTAGCTATAATTTTTAGCTTGTACCCATCAAAGTCTTTGGGATATAGAAAGAATGATAGAATATTTTCTCTAACAATAGAATTCTTTAATCACAAGGCCCAAATAAAACATTTGTGTTAAAGATAATATTCTAGGATAACATTTGTGGTAGATTAAAAGTGGCTATAAATTCTTTCTACTGAGAGGTGGGATCTAATTCCCCTTCCTCTGGGCTTACTTTATTGATTTGTGTCATCAAAAGAAGACAGTGGAAGTGATGTTCCAGAACTTCCAAGTCTAGGTCAAAAGAAACCCTGCAGCTTTGTTTGGGTCTCTTGGAACATTCTCTCTGGGACTGCTGAACTGCCACATAAGAAGTCTGACTACTTTGGGCCCACCATGCTGGGGGAACCACAAAAAGGTGCTCCTACTTCCACCTGAACCCAAGATTCCAGCCATTCCTACCAAGCTGCCAGACGTGTGAGGAAAGCAGGCCTAGAACCTCCAGGACACTGGCAAATTAAATATCGGCAAGGGACCTCTGTGAATACTTTGTTGAACAGAAAATTTACTTGGCCAAGCTCTGCTTCATTCCCTGACCCACAAATCATGAGATATTAAAAACAAAGTTGTTTTAAAACTGTCAGCCCTTCATTTCGATGTAAAAGATAACTGGAACACCTTATCAAAGAAATGAATACTACTAGAAATACTACTACTTGAAATCATTTTTATTTATCTTGAATCTGTTGGTCAACTCAATTTTCATCTATGCTTGGAATTAAAAGTGTGCTCAGTGGTTAGTTCTAAGTCATTGTACATGTGCATCATCAAATGTATCAAGTGATTTTTTTCTTATCCCCCAACCTCTTTTCAGTCAGGTTGATAGATTTGAGAAATCCCCGGGAGGCTGTTTTTGCCAACAGATCTCTGCAGTTTCAATCTCTCTATTTCCCTTTCCTCTAAGAGCTCTTAGGTTAAATTCCCAACTCTCACAGCATTGGTAGTTAGGGAATGGGTGAAATTAAAAAGTAGAAAGCCAATAAAAATGTACTGGCTTCATACAAATGAAAAGAATTATATTAAATAAAATAAGCAAATCAAAGATCTAAGATTCACAGTAAGCTAATTCAAAAACCAGCTGGTGAGTATGTCGTGAAGGGTCAACTTACCCTTTTAGAATTTTCAAAAGTGACTTTTGTATGAAAAGAAACATAACTATGTATTGAAATATTTAGTATTTATATTCAGGGGAAAAAATCCTGTTTACCTGCAAATCAATATTGTTGTCAATACAACGGTCATTCTTCTCTGCCAAAATCTTTCCATAGTTTTCTGATTTGATAATATTTTCAACTCCGGTTGTATCTTTCATTTCTGCCTCCAAATCCTTCATTGTTTCAGTTTCATCTTTTATAGTAACAGTATCAGACATCCTCATCAGCAAAGGTTATTTTAGAATGAAGCCTTAGCAAGAAAGAAAATAAAAAAAAGTTTAATTCAGTTTGAAACATTTTTTACATTCAGTTTCTGCACAATATTGACCTAATACCTTTTATGTTCCAGGAATAATATTGAATATACATACATGGAAGAAAAATTCCTGGTTTCAAAGAATATATAACTTTGTGGTGGATATATTCAAACTTTTAAAAAATTGTAATACAGTGAGAAAAGAATTATAAAAAGAATAGGAGCATGTGCCAGTGGTGGGAGCCTGAAGTCCTAGCTATTTGAAATGCTGAGGGGGGAAGACTGCTTGAACCCAGTAGTTCAAGGCCAGCCTGGGCAACATAGTGAGATCCTGATTTAAAAAATAATAAACAAAAAAGAATGTAAGGTGATTTTGATGCACATATCACTCATGAAAGTTCTTAAGAAACACTGAAGAATGTAGTCAGATCGAAATGGAAAGTAACATTTGGATAGTAATATGTGTATAGTTAGATGACATTAGAAATATTTCTCTCTAAAGAAATTTATGAGTATTATCCTGTGAGAAAAATATTTTCCTATCATAGCTTTCATCTGGATTTCTAAAATTCCAAAATTTTTAAATTACCCTGAATTCCAAAAGGAAATAATTAAAAATATAATAACATTCTATACAAACCCCAGGTTGTAAATATGGGTTAACAACTATGAATATGTTCAACAATATGAAAAAAGCATCGAAAACTCTTCTGACTTATGTGATTTAATGGTCATATAACATGTATTATCAGACACTCTAGAATATGTAATCTATAGCAGATCAATATTAATACATAAGATGCCAGTATATTTCAGGCCATTAGTGAGTTTATGAAAAACACTGGGAACTTCACATTGGATATCAAATAGGAATGTGTCCTATTAAGATTAAGTCTAAAGATAGCTATCATTTTAGAACATGTATCAAAACACCAGAACTTGGCCGGGCGCGGTGGCTCACGCCTGTAATCCTAGCTCTCTGGGAGGCCGAGGCGGGCGGATTGCTCAAGGTCAGGAGTTCGAAACCAGCCTGAGCAAGAGCGAGACCCCGTCTCTACTATAAATAGAAAGAAATTAATTGGTCAACTAATATATACAAAAAATTAGCCGGGCATGGTGGCGAATGCCTGTAGTCCCAGCTACTTGGGAGGCTGAAGCAGGAGGATTGCTTGAGCCCAGGAGTTTGAGGTTGCTGTGAGCTAGGCTGACGCCATGGCACTCACTCTAGCCTGGGCAACAAAGCGAGACTCTGTCTCAAAAAACAAACAAACAAAAAAAAAAAACACCAGAACTTGATATGAACAACTTATTCTGAAATATATCAAAGAAATTAAAAGCAATGGATTCATAGACAGAGGGATAGACAAATATAGGTTAAAGCAGGAATGGTAAATGATAAAGTGTTAATGGTAAAATCCAGGGGTGGTTAAATGGGTATTCACTGTAAAATTCTTTCAACTTTTCCATATTTCTGAAAATTTTCATAATAACACTTTGGCAGAAAAAAACAGGGAAACTTATTTATTCTACATCAATTTAGAAAATCCAAAAGTTCATTTCCTGAATGTTTTACAATTAAATATCTAAATATATTTTAGTAATTGATAAATATGTCTGAAAAGTTAAAAGAAAAAAGCCAAAGAGAAATGACTCTAAAGTCACATATAGACTAAACTGAATAAAAAGTCTTCTTTAATTATATTCCATGCCAAAGTTAAATGGTTCATTTGAAAATAATAATGCTGAAAAGGGGGGGAGTATGGAGGGAGGGAGGATACTTAAAATACTCTGGCTCCTTGCTCTTTACACATTATGATTTTGAAAGAAAAAGGGATGTGTTTTTCTGAAGTGACCAAAGAGTATTACCTGATGTGTCCTATGGATTTGGGTTTGTGGGGTTCCACAAAAATAAAATAAAATAATCCAAGGTTCCTTTCCACAGTTGTCAGCCAGGATGTCAATTGTATTGTACCATCTGTAATCTGGCAGGAGGAGTCCCATGTCCTTGTCACCACTGTAGATTCCTGGACTGGAATGGACTGTCTTGGATCAAATATATCATAACTTTCAGTGCCCTAAAAGTAAAACAAAAGAAACAATCCTAACAAAATAGCCAAGGGATATGGAATGCTCCACAGTAATTTAGAAACTAGAACTATGATTTCCAGTGTTTTCTTCCAGAGCTACAAGTCTTTAATAAAGACAAGACTGTAATTTTGACTAATAATCATCCTCTAGATTTTTAAAAGTACAAAAGAACAAAAGGTTTTAATAAGCCGTTTAACATTTTCAGTGAAACCCACATTGTTAAAAAAAGATGTCTAATAAATGGTGGAATGACTATTTTTTAATGACATTTGAAAGATAAATGCCAAAATTCTCTCTGTGTCATATCTTGAAAGTCAGTTTCATTTTATATTTATTTGGTGCAAGTGAATCCCTCATAGCAAGTAAACCACTCTAAAAAGACTGTATAGCTCTTCTTTCTTTATAATTTTGTTGGCAATCAACAGAACAGTACAATTTTAAGGTGAAATAACAGCATAATGAGCACCAAGAGATCTAGCACCAATACAGCTGAGCAATTCACATTAATATTAACTCTTCAAAAACTATTTTGAGGCTGGGTATTATGGCTCCAGCTTGTAATCCTAGAACTTTGGGAGGCCAAGATGGGAGGATCACTTGAGTCCAGGAGTTTGAGACCAACCTGAGCAAGAGCGAGACCTCGCCTCTACAAAAAAATAGAAAAAATTAGCCAGGTATGGTGGCACATGGCTGTAGTCCCAGCTACTTGGGAGGCTGAAGCAGGAGGGTTCGTTTGAGCCCCAGAGTTTGAGGTTGCAGTGAGCTGTGATGATGCCCCTGCACTTTAGCCCAGATGACAGAGTGTGACCCTGTCTCCACACACACAAAAAAGGAAAACTATTTTGAAATATAATCATTCAGAACCTTGAGATGAGCTGTCTCATGATACCTACATCTTAAATATTCTTTACTTTAGTTTTTGTATCTTGATTTCACTACATCTGACAAAGGATTAATAAATAAAAAAGGAGTATTATAAACAAAGGTCAAAGTTTTTTTTAATTGACACTGTATCATCTCAATCTGACCGAGGTTCATCAGTCACTAGAGCAAATGACTGTTTTATTTTTTCAAGTTCCACCAAAAACAAAACAAAAAATCCTTCAACATAATTTTTCTCAATTTTAATTTTTCTCATAAAACAGTAGACACAAGATGGCAGCACTAACTAAGCAACCAAATTCATGTGCTCTTTGTAAAGTGACTTTACCATTTAAGCATGAATCCCTTAAATTTGAAATTCTATAAATGAAAGGCTGTAACCCATTTAAGAAACAAATATGGCACAGATAAGGCAATAGCTGCAGCGGAGAGTGAGGAAGAGGCACAATTTGAAGAGGTGAACATTTCAGAAGATCCCAAGGTCCTATAGAATCCCAAGGAATCTCAGAAACCACCTAGTTCAATATTATAATTTAGCATGCAAGTTATTAATATTAGTGCCCAGAAGTCAAATGACTTGTCCAAAGTCACACAATCAATATGTGTGACTAAAACTTGTTAAGATGTGACATCATTTGACAAAGGCTAAATAAATGAATGACTTTTGAATCAAAATGACCAATTATTGCCTGAGAAGTAGGCAATGGCATAATAGAAAGAACAAGCACACTAGTATTAGACCTGAGTTTAAATTCCAGCTCTGCCAGTTATATCTTCAGTAAAATATTAATACTAATTCTCTCTGAGCTGCAGTTTTCTGATCTGTAAAGTAGGAAAAAAGAATATTTAGCTCATTGGTTGGTTGTGAGGATTGACTGATTTAAATGTAAAGTACACATAACAGCCTCTCTCAGAATATGTTCTACCTCCTCCAAGGTCAGAATCACTCTAGACTACCAAGTGGCAAAAGGCTGAATTTGCTGTGTTCTGGCCTTGCAATCTGCATGACAGTAGCCTGACAAGAGGCCCACTATTGTGCACAGTGGCTCTGCACTTCCTGTATATATACCCTACAAAGCTCAATAGAGGAGAATAAACACTAGAATCTGTGGGGTATATGTATGAGGGAGAGGGTTTGTGCTTGCCTAGGGGCATGGCCTCAAAGGGCTCTCATTTTGGGGCTTCTAATTTGAACATGAAAAATTCACACAAATTTTGCATTCTTTTCCAAAGTATCAGTGCACTTGTTTTAAATAAACATGTTTTTCCTCTCCAAATCTTCAAGTAAAAGGGATGCTCTAACTTTTGATACTAAAAGAGAAAAAAATCCTTTTATCTGGGCAAGAAGTCTATATTTCTCAGCTTACCAAAGGTTGTGTGGGCATGTGGGAGTTAAGAATAGGAAGTCCCAAGACGGACATGGCACATCATGTCTCTGCCACAACATTTAGTAGTCAATTAAATGTATCACCCTAACATAATAAATGTTGTAGAGTAAGTGAAAAAGATCAAGGAACTGACAAGAATTTGGGAAGTTTCTATAACATACAACTTAGAGGAAAAAAATGAACACAATATTGGCATTTGTTAAGTGTGTAAATCTTAATCCCTACTGTTACTGATATTTAAAAACTGAATTTCTTCAAATCTATTTCAACCCAAAAGAGATGGATATATATGCTCCAAATTCATATTCAACTTTGGAAAAACATTCTTCCAATCCCTAAAACATGCATGTTACTTTTTAGAAACAAGTCAGAGATTTTATTACGTACAATTTCTGTGCTACCAGATAGACAAGAGAAATGTTACATATATGTAACATATACATATACATATATATAATAAAACTTTCAGTTGCATATGCATAAAAAGGATGGCACCTACCTGGCATCATAAACAAAAGAGATTTATAGGTAAAATTAAAGATCATAACCTAAAAAAAGTAATACTATGAATGTACTAGTAGTATATATAGGAATTCTTTTTATAAGAGGGGGAAAGCCCTTCCTAAGCGCAACACAAAAATCTAGAAGCCAAAGGTAAATAGTTATTGAACTTAAAACAAAGTTTTAAAATTTCTCTGTGATAAAACAATAAACAGAGTAAAAGGCAAATGATATAAATGAATTTTTCCAGCTTTATATAAAAGGGTCAGAATGTTGACAGTAAAGAAGCTCTTACAAATCAAGGGGGGAAAAAAAGGAATAGGGAAATGACAGGAATAGCTAAGTTACAAAAGAAATACAAATAACTACCACCAAAAACTAATACAACCAAGTGCCTGGCCCTTTTCTAATACCTTTCATAATTAATTATTTGAAAGCTTATAACAATTCTAAGAATTATGTCCTATTATTACCCCTGTCTTAAAACAGATTAGGAAACTAAAGCACAGAAAAATTAACGAATTTGTCTAAAGTCACATAAGCTAGCAAGAGTGGGAACCAGAATTTGAATTGAGCCCACTGGTGTACCATTCCAAGCTCTTATCTACAACACTGTATCATTATTCATATGTATTATCTGATTTTGTGTTCAAGAAGGGATAATTGTGTTTATATAGTAACTTTATTTCAAGAGTAATTATGACATGTAGTAACTCCTTAATACTGGATTTAAGATACAAAGTAAATTTATCCTTTTCACATGGATAGGAGGTATGTATTTTTTTTTTTTGTGTGCAGAGGAAGACAGCACTATCAACTTTGTAATAATGGTAAGACTACTCACTACTGAATTATCAGAACTACCAGAAAATATATAACCATCCAGTTTCTCTGAATCTCCCTATCACTTGTGATGATGAGTACCAACTATGCAAAACTGAGTCTGAGTAAGGATTCAGAGTTTGTGGCTAATGAACAATGTGAAACTTAGTAGCTTATAAATGATAAATACACATGGTTAACTTTGTAGTGGTCCCCAACCTTTTTGGCACCAGGAATCAATTTCATGGAAGACAATTTTTCCTTGGACAAGGGTAAGGGTGGGGAGGCGGATCTCAGGTGATGATGAGAATGATAGCCAGTGTTTGCTCGCCAGCTGCTCACCTTCTGTTGTGCACCCCCATCCCCACTAAATTTCATAGAAGACAACTTTTCCATGAATGTGGGTGGGCGGCAGTGGCAGCCCAGAGGTTGGGGATCACAGCAGTTAAGTACCTTCTTCAATGTAACAAAATATGGCAGAATTAGGATGAACATTTGCTAATATATACACACTCTACAGAGTAGTTTCTCTAGTTAAAATTTCAGAAAGAATTTTCATCAACAAAAATGCAATATTGATACTGATAATTCAAAAGATCACTTCATAATGCCTGGGTAATGCCTAATTTTTGGTTCCATAGCACAAAACTGAAAAGTCAGGTAGCCAAAAAAATAAAATACTCCAATTTCACACAATGAAACCCAGTTTACTCTAGGTTGACAAAATATTTAAAAAAATTATTTATTTCTGGGAAAGAAATCTGGCTCCTACAGTTAAAAATATTCTTCACAAGAATACTGAGGGGGAAAAAAGAGAATACTGATGGGGGAAAAAGAGTTACATTACTGAAATTATCAGAATAGAATCTGGCAAAGCACACTGTGTTGTTGCTTCTTTATCATTACTTAGTTTCTGATACCACTTCATTAGATGGATAAAATGTTATTTCTTCCTTTACAGATACAAATATATCCAGGCAGGCACATTTATAAAAGAAATCAAATGCACAAAAGCAACAGTATTATACCAGCTTCTCTTTAAGGTTATAAGTTGGAACAACCAAATTAGTCAGAGGCCTCCAGAAAGAAAGGCAAAGAAAACGGTTTAGGCTGTATTTAGAAACAGTGGAAATTTACATTCTTAGAATCTCTCCTCAGTTGCTTGAATAAGAATATAAACAATAGCATTTCAAAATGCTAAATATCTATGTGATTTATAGATAGTCACTATCATCCAACAAAAATTTACCAAATAACCACAGAAAGCACTATAATTGCAATGAGTATTGGCTATATTTAAAAAGAACGAAGGGAATGAACTACCTTGACCTTAAAGAGTTTGTTAAACCCTTAAGATGTTAATGGTGACACTTAACAAATAATAATTTTAAAAG